GCTAGCTATGATTTTGTATATAATATTTGTAATTAATAATTGTAAGTTTTTTTCTTGTACTTAGGTTGAGCAGCTCTGAGACTGCTGGAGGGAGGTTAAGATTTATTTTTTTGTATACTGAGTTAATTGAAGATTGTAACTGTAGGTATTCTAAGTATTGTGTGCTCCTGATGCCAAACTTCTGGACCAGGCAGGGAAATGAAACCAGTGTGTTGTCCTGAAAGACGTGCTGCACGTGTGTGATGCCTCTCTCTGCCCATGAGCCGAAGTGAAAAGGTTTTTTGTAGATTAGCAAATCGGGATTATTCCAGATGGGTGTGAGACCAGATGATGATAGAGTGCAGTTAGTAATTTTCTGAAATTTCCACCAGGCCATCAGAGTTGAGGATATTGTTGAGGTTTTGAAGCATGGGGAGCTTTTGATTGAATTACTAAGAAAGGGTAAGTCTGAAATTTGGATATTGTGACAAAATGCTTCTTCTATATCCCGCCAAGTGTTGTCTGATGGGTCAGAGTGAGTCCATTTGTAAATATATTGCAACTGTATAGCTAAAGAATAATAAAGAAAATTTGGTGCAGCTAGTCCTCCTTGTGGTTTAGATTTTTGCTGGGTGGAGAGTTTGATTCTACAGTAGGTGTTTTATTTTTCCAGTAAAATGATGTGATAATTGAGTCAAGAGATTTAAACCATGATTGAGTGGGCGGTGTTGGTATCATGGAAAAAAGGTAGTTAATTTTGGGAAGAATAGACATTTTTATTACAGCAATACAGCCAATGAGAGATAGGCAAGGCAAGGCAAGTTTATTTGTAGAGCACAATTCATACACAAGGCAACTCAAAGTGCTGAACAAGAAAGCATTAAAATCATAAATAATCACAGAACATTAAAAAGAAAGATAAAAACATAAAATCCCTAGTGGATAGTGGAAGATTAGTCCAACGGTTAAGATTGTCTGTTATTGTTTTGATGATTGGAGTGAAATTTAAGTGTAACAACTCTGATGGCCTGGATGAGATGTTGATACCAAGACATGTTACAGTGCCTTGCGAAAGTATTCGGCCCCCTTGAACCTTTCAACATTTTGCCACATTTCAGGCTTCAAACATAAAGATATAAAATTTTAATTTTTTGTCATGAATCAACAACAAGTGGGACACAATCGTGAAGTGGAACGAAATTTATTGGATAATTTAAACTTTTAAAAAAAATAAAAAACTGAAAAGTTGGGCGTGCAATATTATTCGGCCCCTTTACTTTCAGTGCAGCAAACTCAGTCCAGAAGTTCAGTGAGGATCTTTGAATGATCCAATGTTGTCCTAAATGACTGATAATGATAAAAAGAATGCACCTGTGTGTAATCAAGTCTCCGTATAAATGCACCTGCTCTTTGATAGTCTCAGGGTTCTGTTTAAAGCGCAGAGAGAACCATGAAGACAAAGGAACACACCAGGCAGGTCCGAGATACTGTTGTGGAGAAGTTTAAAGCCGGATTTGGATACAAAAAGATTTCCCAAGCTTTAAACATCTCAAGGAGCACTGTGCAAGCAGTTATATTGAAATGGAAGGAGTATCAGACCACTGCAAATCTACCAAGACCCGGCCCTCCCTCCAAACTTCCGTCTCAAACAAGGAGAAGACTGATCAGAGATGCAGCCAAGAGGCCCATGATCACTCTGGATGAACTGCAGATAACTACAGCTGAGGTGGGGATGGTGTGTGCATTTCAATATAATTGCTTGCACAGTGCTCCTTGAGATGTTTAAAGCTTGGGAAATCTTTTTGTATCCAAATCCGGCTTTAAACTTCTCCAACAGTATCTCGGACCTGCCTGGTGTGTTCCTTTGTCTTCATGGTTCTCTCTGCGCTTTAAACAGAACCCTGAGACTATCAAAGAGCAGGTGCATTTATACGGAGACTTGATTACACACAGGTGCATTCTATTTATCATCATCAGTCATTTAGGACAAAATTGGATCATTCAAAGATCCTCACTGAACTTCTGGAGTGAGTTTGCTGCACTGAAAGTAAAGGGGCCGAATAATATTGCACGCCCCACTTTTCAGTTTTTTATTTGTTAAAAAAGTTTAAATTGTCCAACAATTTTCATTCCACTTCACGATTGTGTCCCACTTGTTGTTGATTCATGACAAAAAATTTTAATTCTATATCTTTATGTTTGAAGCCTGAAATATGGCGAAATGTTGAAAGGTTCAAGGGGGCTGAATACTTTCGCAAGGCACTGTATATGAGCTGTGCTAATAGGGAAAGGAGGGGTATGGGCTGTCACATCCCAACCATCCCCTACTGGGAGAATAATGGATTTTTGAAAGTTGATGCTGTAATCTGAGATGTTGGAGCATGCCTTTATGATTTCTATTGTTTCTGTAAGTGAGGTGTATGGTTGCTGCAGGTAGAGTAGTATATCATCAGCATATAGACTTATTTTGTGATGGGTTGTTGGTGTCTGTATTCCTGTCAAATGTGAATTCTGGCGGATTGCTGCGGCAAGAGGTTCTATGAATATAGCAAAGAGGAAGGGAGAGAGTGGACATCCCTGCCTAGTTCCTCTGTGTAATATTAGTCTATTGGTTAGTACAGAAGCAGTGGGTGAGGTGTGAAAGATGTGAATCCAATTTATAAATGATTCCCCAAAGCCAAATTGTTCTAGTGTGGCTGTTAAAAATGACCAGTTAACTCTATCAAAGGCCTTTTCACCATCAAGAGAAACTATTATTGTTGGCTGTTGTTGCAATGTTGAGTATTCCATTAAGTTGAAGAGTCTGTGTGTGTTGTTTGACGAATGTCTTCCTTTTATGAAGCCGGTTTGATCTGGATGTATTATGGAAGGAATGACTTTTTCCAGTCTGTGGGATAATGATTTTGTAAAGATTTTGAGGTCAACGTTGATTAGTGATATTGGCCGGTAACTGGATGGAGAGGTTGGGTCTTTGTTGGGTTTGAGAAGAAGTGAAATTATGGCAGAGTTCATGTGAATAGGCAATCTTGAATCCTCTTTTATTTCAGTTATACGTTTTTGGAATAGTGGACTGAGAATAGACCAGAAAAGTTTATAAAATTCAGCAGGGAAGCCATCAGGTCCGGGTGCTTTATTATTTGGCATTGATTTGAGTGCATCATGAAGTTAAAAAGATTCTTTTTAATAATTATAATAATGCCTCGGTTTTATATCGCGCTTTTTTGGACACTCAAAGACGCTTCACATGTAATTATTCATTCACTCGAGAAGCTGCTTTTTTCTTAGCTAGTTGTAAATGTTTCAATACCAATATACTGTATCTCTGTCTATCTATATACAGTGCCTTGCGAAAGTATTCGGCCCCTTTGAACCTTTCAACATTTCGCCACATTTCAGGCTTCAAACATAAAGATATAAAAATTTAATTTCTTGTCAAGAATCAACAACAAGTGGGAGACAATCGTGAAGTGGAACGAAATTTATTGGATAATTTAAACTGTTTTAACAAATAAAAAACTGAAAAGTGGGGCATGCAATATTATTCTTGCCCATTCTTCCTTGCAAAACAGCTCGAGCTCAGTGAGGTTGGATGGAGAGCGTTTGTGAACAGCAGTCTTCAGCTCTTTCCACAGATTCTCGATTGGATTCAGGTCTGGACTTTGACTTGGCCATTCTAACACCTGGATACGTCTATTTGTGAACCATTCCATTGTAGATTTGGCTTTATGTTTTGGACCATTGTCCTGTTGGAAGATAAATCTCCGTCCCAGTCTCAGGTCTTTTGCAGACTCCAACAGGTTTTCTTCCAGAATGGTCCTGTATTTGGCTCCATCCATCTTCCCATCAATTTTAGTCATCTTCCCTGTCCCTGCTGAAGAAAAGCAGGCCCAAACCATGATGCTGCCACCACCATGTTTGACAGTGGGGATGGTGTGTTCTGGGTGATGAGCTGTGTCGATTTTGGTTTCATCTGACCAGAGCACCTTCTTCCACATGTTTGGTGTGTCTCCCAGGTGGATTGTGGCAAACTTTAAACAAGACTTTTTGTGGATATATTTGAGAAATGGCTTTCTTCTTGCCACTCTTCGATAAAGGCCAGATTTGTGCAGTGCACGACTGATTGTTGTCCTATGGACAGACTCTCCCACCTCAGCTGTAGTTATCTGCAGTTCATCCAGAGTGATCATGGGCCTCTTGGCTGCATCTCTGATCAGTCTTCTCCTTGTTTGAGATGAAAGTTTGGAGGGACGCCCGGGTCTTGGTAGATTTGCAGTGGTCTGATACTCCTTCCATTTCAATATAATTGCTTGCACAGTGCTCCTTGAGATGTTTAAAGCTTGGGAAATCTTTTGTATCCAAATCCGGCTTTAAACTTCTCCACAACAGTATCTCGGACCTGCCTGGTGTGTTCCTTTGTCTTCATGGTTCTCTCTGCGCTTTAAACAGAACCCTAAGACTATCAAAGAGCAGGTGCATTTATACAGAGACTTGATTACACACAGGTGCATTCTATTTATCATCATCAGTCATTTAGGACAACATTGGATCATTCAAAGATCCTCACTGAACTTCTGGACTGAGTTTGCTGCACTGAAAGTAAAGGGGCCGAATAATATTGCACGCCCCACTTTTCAGTTATTTATTTGTTAAAAAAGTTTAAATTATTCAATAAATTTCGTTCCACTTCACGATTGTGTCCCACTTCAAACAGAAAGAAAATGTTATATCTTTTGTGTTTGAAGCCTGGAATGTGGCAAAATGTTGAAAGGTTCAAGGGGGCCAAATACTTTCGCAAGGCACTGTACATATATTGTGCAAAGTTATGTTCATATGAGGCAGGATAATAAGTAGATTAAGTGACATTCAGTGGACATTCTAAAATGGCAGTATTGCACATGATTACTGATTATTTACTATTTGTAGATGAATGACATAAATGAGCCTTTGGTCCATGAGGGAAAATCTGTTCTGAACTCTGTCAGAAATAAACACATTTTCATATAAATTATAAAAGACCTTACCGTGCATTGTAGCAGCGAAAAAGTGTGAAAGTGAAAAACAAAAGCCCACAAAAGTCCCAGTGAAACATGTTGAACCGAGGTCTGTCTGGACTGGAACTGTCTCGCCCAGAGCCAGAACTGTTGTACTTTACACGATTGAGAAAGACCATTTCTCGCTAGTTTCATAATTTGTTGATTCAGTGCTGGATAAACTTTGAGCTCAACAAACGTGACTTCTGGTAATTATACTGTACACAGGCTGTTTATTATAATGCATTATTGTACATTATAATACACAGTGTTAAGCTGTTGTTCTGGAAATGACCCAATATCATCTTATTGGTCAAAATATGGGAAAAGGAAATGATCTGAGAAGATTAGAAAGACCTTTTTGTTCTGTGCATTTTCAATGTAAAGCACTTTGATGAGAATTAATTAGTAACCAAATTTCCTCCGAAGTCCTGAACTAGCCGACAGTGCTGAGTCATTTCCATTTCAAACCAACTGTCATGGTGTGGGTTTTATTTTTGTGTTTTTGTTTTATTTTGACATTGCTCTCTGTGTTTGGTTTTAGTTGTACTTCCTGTCCTGTTTACCCCGGTCTTGATTGTCTACTCTGCCCTGATGTGTTTCACCTGTGTCTGTGTCTATATGTACCCTGTGCTCCTCTCCACATGTTGCTGGTCCATTGTGTTGTTCATGTCTTTGGCCCTGTCCACACGAAGTCAAGCTCAGGCCTAAACGCAAAAATACTTTATCAATCCAGTGTATCGTCCATACGAGGCCGGCGTTTTGGGGGGGTGTAAACGAACATTTTTGAAACCAGGTCCCAGAGTGGAAAGATTTCAAAACTCCGTATATGCCGCTCCGTGGTTACTGCCTCTCCGCAATGTATCTGAGACGCTTGCGTCATCGCCCCGCCTCTTGTTAAAGCACGCATGCGCCGCACTCAGAAAATAATGACAACAACAATGTAGCTTGTTGGTTTTGTAATCCAGTGTGACCCGAAGCAACAGTTCAACCTCATCGTCCGTCCATACTAATGTAGTACCAGCTCGCCCACTCGCCATGTTGTCTGTTTACAAAATTCCGCGCATACCCAGTTCCCGTCACGGAAGTTTGGGCTTGATCCCGTCATTGCGTCACAGCGCCACCAACAGGTCTTGCATAGTTTCACAGCGTTTTCAGGCGTATTGACTACATTCATATGGACGCACACATTTACTGAGCTAACTCCGTGTTTACAGAAAAAGTTTCTGAAATTATAAGCGTTTTGTCTTCGTGTGGATATAGCCTTTGTCTGTTCCGTTCTGCCCTGTTCCTGGTTGCTTGTGTTTTTGGATTGGGTTTAACCTGGACTTTTATTTTGTTATAATTAAATAATTATTTTTTGGCATTCCTGCATTTTGAGTCCTCCATCACCTCTCCACATGACACCAACACTGTTTACTTGCAGCAGTTATCTTTTAGACTTCCGACAAACTGATTTAGCGACGTATATATTTGAAGTATATGTTTGATGTTTGAAGTCCAGTTTTAGCACTTGTTAAAAGTGAAAAACAGTAAGAACCTTATATAACATATTACTTACTAAAGACTTTGGGGGGGAATTTCGTAATATTTCATTGTTTTGAATAGAAGCAGTAAAAAAAATGACGGCTCTGGAAGTTGTAGTAGTTTCATAATTCTGGGAGTCCTAGTGTTAAATTCAACTCAATAAAATGTATTCTTGTATCGCCCTAAATCACAACAATAGTTTTCTCAGAGGACTTGACAAAACCGTTGAAATCACCAACACAGATCAGAGAATCAAACAGTTCCAACACAGAGAGACCACATGGTTTTGGACCAGATCAAGTGTCGATAAATGTCCATAAATATTGTAAAATGTAGAGTGTCCTGGTCCTGGATCATCACCACAGTTCTTTTTTGTTTTGACACTAAAGGTCTAACAGGCTCCTGCTGCTGCATCAGAGGAAAAACTCTAAAACCCAGTGGTAAAAAATTGAGAAACCACAGGGAGGTCCACATTGTAGGACCTAAGCTACAGAACAAGGACCAAGGCCACGCGGCGCAGGACTCAGGTTGTAGAATGAGGACAGGTGCAGGACTGAAGCACCTCCCAAGCGGGGAGGGGGTGCAGGGTGAATAGCAGTGAATAGCAATGAACAGCCTACAGTCAAAATCCTAATAATGCAGACAGATAAAGTAGGAAGGAGGAGAGGATAGTGTCCAAGTTACCATACTTCTCCCAGAAAACTGACTCAATTTACAGCATAGCCCTAAAACATAGCAACTTATATTGTATATTTTGTGTGCTCCCTGTGTGCACTGTAACAAATTTCTGTAACAAATATATAAAGATATTTTTGAAAAACAATTCAAACATGCAAATTTAAGTATAAATTGGTTAAAAAACATCCAGTGGCGTTTTATTACCACAATTATAATGTGATTACAAAAAACGTTACAATACCATAAAATCACAATGTGATTAATAATCACATTGTGATTTTATGATAGAATTACCATAATTTAACATAAACATGTATTTTTGGAATGCTGGGAAATTTTTGCTAGCGAGCAACCATGAGTGTAAAAGGTACCTCTTACAAATGTAAACTCCTGCTTTTGTTGCAGTGATACTTTTGTATTAAGTATGTTATAGAAGTAAAGATTTCAACTACATTCTTGTTTAACTGAAGATGTTAAAAAATAATTGAAAAGTAGTGTTCATTAAAGGAAAACAAATCAAGCTGTGTAGTTTTTTGATCAATGAAACTAATTAGAAACAGAAAAAGTCGTATGGTGTAGTAATACTACATTAACATTATAATGCTGTTTTTGTTGTCTGTGAATTAACAAGAACCTAAAGTTAAATCATGAAATCACAAAGGCATAATGTGATTCAGTGAAACAGTCTTTAACCATTAAAATTAGCAACGGTAATGCCATGTTGAGAAAACGGTAAATTCCTGGAACCATATTTGCCAGCAATTTACCGTTTTTCTACAAGGAAATTCTTTACAGTGTGCTCTCACTACTGTCAACTATGTGCGCTGCAACATTTAAATTTCCGCACTGTGGGACAAAAAAAGGTTATTTTATCTTATCATTTCATCTTTTATCTTATCTACTAAAACTCGAAATTGTGAGTTTTAAACTCGAAATAGTGAGTTTTAAACTCGTAATTATAAGTTTTAAACTCAAAGTTTTGTGTTTCATGGATGCAGTGGTGACTGTCTGTAGGCAATATCTTCACATAACTTGCAGGTAGAGGATGTCCAGACACCGTTCCAGACAACAACACATATGGGCAGCAACTGCACATGCGCAGTTTAAAACTCGATATTTCGAGTTAATTTTAAACTCATAATTTTGAGTTTTAAAGTCGCAATTATGAGTTTAAAACTCAAAATTATAACTTTCTGTAGGCTTTTTTTTTTTTTTTTTTACATGGCGGAAACGGGCTTCCATAGAACTGCACAATCACTTGAACACTTTAAATCCCTGCTTAATAGGGGTGTGACGATATATCGTGATATCGATATATCCCGATACTTTCTCCCGTGATTCGATTATCGATATGCATTTGCCAAGTATCAATATCGATTAAAAAAAATTATTATTAAAAACCTTTTCAATTAGTATCAATACTTAATATATGGCTACACATCTTTCTTTTATTTATGCCATAAATTGGCATATTTCTGACCAATATATCGATTTTCGTGATGTTATCGTTATTGTGATGTTATAGTTATCGTGATGTTATAGCTATCGTGATGTTATAGTTATCGTGATGTTATAGCTATCGTGATGTTATCATTATCGTGAGCTTTGTATCGTGTATCGTATCGTAAGGTATCCTTAGGTTCCCACCCCTACTGCTTAACACGCACCTTTTCTCTTAGCAGGTAGAAAGAGACAAGTTTTCGTTTTATTTCTATTGTTATGTGTGGGAATATTTCTATATTTTTATGTGCTTTTATATATTATAATATTTTTTTCACTGTCTGTAAAATACTTTAGTAAGCATTGGCTGGTTTAAATGTGCTCTACAAATAAATAAAGATTTGATCTTATGGTTAAAACATAAATAATACAATTCAAAGATGGCCGCTGCGGCTGCACGCGCTCGCCTCCTCTAGCGCTGCACGCGCCCCTCAGCTCCGTGTCAGCTGATCCTCCACTGGCTTCTGGCTCCGTGTCAGCTGATCCTCCACTGGCTTCTGGCTGTAGCCGAAGGAACGAAGGAAAACACGGGCTCCACCGCTTTGAACCATGGCCGCGGAGATCCACTCGCGTCCCCAGACCTCCAGACCGGTGCTGCTCAACAAGATCGAGGGCCACACCGACGCCGTGACCGCCGCTGTTCTCATCCCGAAGGAGGACGGGGTGATCACGGTCAGCGAAGACAGGTGAGCTGGCTAATGTTAGCTGGCTAATGTTAGCTTGGATCTGATGTGCAGTGTTGTGGTGGTTTAAGCTAGCAGCATCATGCCAGAAGGAGACACCATTTAGCTAGTTATTTTAGCAAAGCGTGGATTTATTTATATGATTACAACAGAGTAAAAACCCTGTGTGTATTGTTAAAAACCTTTTTGGAATACGAACAAATGACTCCTTATGGAGCTGGGGTGCTGTAGTTTGTCCTCTGGACAAACTAAACTTGTCTTATTATAAATGGGATTAATCTCGACACAGAAATATCAAAGTCGTAAGGCAAGCCTTCATATATTTGTGGAAAAATACACTCTGACATAGCTGATGTCTGGCTCCAATAGACTGTTGAATGACCTATTGTGTTGGGTTTTACAGTTTCCCCTTTCACAGATGAACTGAAATTGAGATTTAGGGACCTGTAATAAAGAAAAATAAACTCCAGGTGGAATACATGTAAGATTGTGAGATAGATTTCTGTATGTACAATATGCATAGTTTGTTTTATTGTATCAGTTTATTTCACAGGGACATTGTGCATTATAAAACATAATGTAAATGCAACAGAATTTGCCAAGTGGACTATTTTTCATTTGCAGTCCCTGGATGAATACATGCAGGTGCACATATTATCTTTAGTGAGACTAACAGTAAAAGTCATACAATAATAAAATGCAGTAAAACATAATATAGGGGAGAGCAAGTCATCATACAAAAGAGATATTTACAAAGCAGTGAGTAAAGGGACCTAGACTAATGGTACATGCCTGTTGTGTTACTAACCAGTAGGGCTGAAACAACTAATCGATTAATCGACGACTAATCGATTATTGAAATAGTCTACAACTATTTTAGTAATCGATTAATCGTTTTCTGGTTCACACGGACTCAAACAGAGCAAAAATGACATGAAAATGTAGTATTTTTTTATTAAAACCGACTTTGTTTTTATAATTTCATGAATATCAGATAGCAGAATTAGCACAAAGAGCCTGTTACAAACATTTACTTTAAGTTTACGCCATCAATACGTCCTCGAGTGTTGCCACTTTAGCTTTTTGTGATGAAAAAATATTTTTTTTTGTCACAATTCACAGCCAAGCAATTACTCGATTTAATGGTAAAAATAATCGATAGATTAATCGATTACAAAATAATCGTTAGTTGCAGCTCTACTAACCAGTTTTTTTACCGTCTCAGAGAAACCAGTGAGATGCTAACATATGCTATTGAAACCGGCATTAGTAATAACACAATAATAGTAATAGTACAGCTTACAATTTGATGGCGCATTTTGGACACTCTAAAATATTCTACAGTTGATTATATGGATAATAACTACCTACAGATTAGAGGAAAGCAGTGTACACATTCAGAATGGTAAAACTCCATATAATACTCTATGGAGCAAAACATAGCAGCCATCATTGTCAACTTCAAGATGCTTTATGATTAGCTTTACATAATTTTTCACTAATACAATCACACCTCTGCTTTAACTATTAAATGTAGATAGTAGGGTTGGGCGATATTTTTTTTGTACCGGTATACCGGTATAAGTAAATTAAATGATAAGAAAATGCCTTATACCGGTGAAAACGATCATTTAACACTGAAAACGGCGAGCAGAAGACACGTTTGTGTGCGGCGCACTTTGATGATGCATCTGCGCGGCACGTGTAGCAGAGCGGCGTGCAGGGACAACAACAACAGAGCAGAGAGCAAACATGGCTGAGGGCGGCGGTGAAGACCATGGTGAAGACATGCAGATTGTAGAAGACATTGTGCCAAAACGCGGAGCTACCTCAAACATATGGGAGAAGTTTGGGAACTAGATAAAAAGAAGCAATTGTGTGTAACTATCGACAGTGGATCTAATGTTGTGAAAGCAGCTGCCCTAAACAACTGGACTCGAGTGGCTTGCTTCGGACACTCGCTCTCTCTCTCTCGCTCTCTCTCTCTCTGCCATTGGTAAGCTTTATTTACTGTTTACTGTCATTCATTTTACTTCAATGCATGTGTTTGTCTACATTGCAATATAATTACAAATAAGTTATAATTACATAATTATAGAAACGCAAAAGGATACAAAAAATATATACAGTATTTGATCATTTTGACTATTGGGATTAGGAAACATAAGCCAAAGTGATCAAATAATTATTTGATAATGCTACACTTTTTATATTACAAAGGACAAACTTTTATATATTTTACAAATGTTCACCTTTATTACATGTTACCTGCAATTTTCAGTATGTACAAAACAGAATTCTCTACAATTCAGTTTTGTTAATACGTTTTATATACTATACATAGTTCCCACATGACGTCACTACATACGGGGATTTGCCGACCCGGCGCCATTTGTCTTGGCATTCTGTGGGCAAAACAATAGAAAAAGAAGCTGAAACGTGTTAATGTCGTGATAAAGTTGAAAATGGTCATCTCCTGCTGGGTCAATGGATGTTCAAATCGTGCCGGAGGTTCCGTTAAACTTGGATTTTACAGTATACCCATCATTAGACTTCATGAATGTGAGAAGACTAAGCTTTTGTCAGAACAACCACGGAGGTTATGGCTTGCGAAGATAAACAGGCAAGAAACTCCCTCAAAACACGCAAGAATATGCTGGGAGCACTTTGTGTCAGGTGCGTATCGTATCTTATAATGTGTTGACAGACGTAATTTACTCAGTACTAATAATTAAAATAATTATATGGAGCTCCAACTGGTATTAAATCTAAAGTTTTTGAGAAATGTTTGCATTGCTTGTTAATTTTTGCTGCATAATTTGATCAAATATGTAAAACATGTCCGTAGCACGTTAAACTGTGGTGCCATTGTATTAATATACAATTATTTGCTCAAAAGTTGCCCTTTTTTCCAATTTGCGTTTGAATATCTACATTTATTCTCATTCTTCTGTTTAATGGAATGCACAAACACAGCAGCGTGCCATCAAAGATGGCGTCTCCGAGGAGGTCATGTGACATTCATTGGTCTGTGGGAACTATGTATAGCTGTATTGCACATTTTGCTGCCAATAAATCGGTAAATGCACTTTGAGGCAAGTGTGTTTAAAATTATCAGTGCTAAGTTTTTATAGCTTTTATATGAGGCTTTGTTAAAATTATCATATCGTCATATCGTGATACATACCAACAAAAATCGTGATACATGCTGAGGCCCATATCGCCTAACCCTAGTAGATAGTAGATAGGTAGTAAAAGTAGAGTACAATAGTAGCATTTAACTCTTGTAAGTATGTATAATTCTGCTAATTTCTCACTTTCCCAGAACAAAATCCAGGCCCATATGAAGCCAATCTGCTAGAATGAGACTAAATGTTACAGTACTACTTTTTATTGTACACAATATATCCTGCATTTAACATGTTTGCACATTTCTTTCTCTTGCACAGTCTTGAGTGATTCTATCCATGCCAGATCTGACATGTGTGAGATCAATACAGTTTATCTTATCTTCTCTTCAATCAAATTCCCAGTTTCCTTCCTCTAAGTTTCAAAGACAATACCAATACTTCTGATTGTGAAGTTGTGATAGATATTCCAACGAACTGAACACCGGTCGATCCTTTCTAAATCTAAATATTTGCTTTGCTCTGTTGTGAAGTGGACTGTTGTGTCTGGAGCGTTAGGTGCTGCAGCTTAGTCTCTGAAAACACGGATTATCCCCAAATTCTTACGACCACGACAGACTGCATCACTTTCTATTTCGATTTTTTCCCCACCACTAGTGACAGTAGTATAATGTGACGTTCGTAAAGGGCAGGGTCAGTGTTGTGTTATGAAAACTGCAGAGGGGAAGAAACATTTTGCCCACAGCGCCTCCTTGTGGCTCGGGGGTAAAGTGCATTTTGTCTCCTGCAATCTGACGACACATTTTCCAGGATCAGTTTCCAGCTCATGCGATTTGTGTTTTTGTTTCAGAACGATCCGGGTCTGGCTGAAGAGAGACAGTGGACAGTACTGGCCCAGCATCTTCCACACGGTCTCATGTGAGTAAAGATGTATTTCTATCTCTTTTCTCATGATTTCAGTTGATCCTGACAGAGACCTTTGATGGGAAATTTCTCATTCTGTATAAATCCTCCATTTTATAACTAATATTAATCACACTTAGAAAGGCAAGTTTATTTGTACTGCACAGTTCATACACAGGCCAACTCAAAAAGGAACAAAACAAGATGGAAACAAGGCATTCAAATAACAGATATATAATCACAGTGCGTTAAAAAGATTGAAGAAATTAATAATATCAAGACCATATTATAGAAGCTGGTAGACACTATTTCACTGCTGGCGTAAAACAGGCTTGTCACAATGAAAATCTGTGCTTGTGTAAATTGAGGATCTGCCCAAAGCGTCAAATAGTGACATGAAATGTGCAAAAGATGTTTTCTAATCAGTGTGATCTGATTTATTAACAACGTTTTACTCTACGTGTTGGGACAGAAACATGAACTGTGCTATACAAATAAAGGTGGCCTTTCTTCTCTCAGCTCCGTGCTCGTGTATGTCGTACCACCATGACAGCAGACGCATCTTCATCGGACAAGACAATGGAGCCGTCGTCGTGAGTAAACTCTAAACAAACACGTGTTAGACCAGATGTGGGCCATTATTTTTTTACGGGGCGTCGCAAGAGAAAGAGATAGTATTGTGGAGGGCCATGCTAAAAAGGTGAACTCAAATATACATAATATTAGTTGTAGGAAAAAAAAGCTCAAACAATGAAAGAGTGAGGTTGCCTTTTTACATTTTTGGCTTATTTTTGTGAATGTACCAAAAAGAAACATCCAAGCAATTGTCACTGAACTGTGAACAAAGCGGCTCAGAAAGCGCTGGAATAGGTATACCAATGAAATCGTTTGGCGGCCGAACCCGGCCCCCGGGCCTTATTTTGCCCAGGTCTGTCTTGGAACATATTCATGTTTTTCTTGGTCTTTAAAATAGTTGTTTTGGAGACTTTATTTCCCTGTCTCAATCCTTTATATAATGGCCTGATAATAAATAAAAACTGTTAAATGTCACAGTAAAAGTCAATTCCAATTGTGTTTATGAACTAATAAGTATCAAAATGGGGCGACAGTAGCTCAGTTGGTAGAGCACTGGTCTTTGGACCTAATGGTTGTGACCCATGTCAACTGCTCCCGCTGATGTCTGCTGTCGTTGTGTCCCTGGGCAAGACACACCCCACTTTGCACGAAGTCCCCGCTGAAAGACCAAGGCCACATTTGTGTCGAAAGAGCAGTCATCTTCCTGTGGACCCACCACCTGCAGGAGGATCAGCGAGGGACTGGTGCTGTGTGAATTGGGTGGCAGCTCTGATTGCCACCCCCTGACCCAGAAATGGAAAATAAAGGGATGTAAATGAAATGAAAAGTATCAAAATAACAACAAATCTCTTTGAATAATTCTTTGTTCTTTTCCCTTCAGGAGTTCCTCATATCTGAGGATTTCAACAAAATGAACCATGTCAAGACTTATCCAGGTATTTGCTTTTGTTCCTCTCTTAATGTGTTGTTTTGTTGTGGCTTTGACGATATCAAAATGTCTGACATCTTTAGTAACTTAATGAACCAACATGATGAATATTAGACCTTTAAAACTAACTGTTAAACCAGTTTGTGTTTGACACTGTTGCTATGGCGACGCCTCAGGCAGAGTCATTAGGACCTGTAGTGTAAACATAAGAATGAACTGTAGTTTGTGTTGGAATCTGCGCTGACCGTGGAATGAAGTTTAATTTCAGCTTTTTGAAAAATATGCAACAAAATATACAGCCATTTTTATTTTAATATTTCTGGACAATGATCCTCCGCTCCCTATTGGACCAATAGCTCCTATGTGTTTGTTATCATTGCATTTCCTGTGTCTCTCTCTCTCTCTGGTCTCTCTAGTTTCTTTCTCTCTCTCCCTGGTGTCTGTAGTTTATTTCTCTCTCTCTCTCTCTGGTCTCTCTAGTTTCTTTCTCTCTCTCCCTGGTGTCTGTAGTTTATTTCTCTCTCTCCCTCTCTGGTCTCTCTTTCTCTCTATCTCTCTCTGGTCTCTCTGGTCTCTCTCTCATAAAATGTCTTCTTTTTAAATGTTAATATTTTAAAGCAGCCCTGTCAGACGTTCTATTGTTCCTCCTGGTATAGAGTCTATTCTCCTTTCCTCATTGTAGGTCAGGAGAAGAAAACCCTTTTCAAATGTGTCCAAATACAATGTGTGTTTATGTAAATACCACAGCGAGGTCTGTGGACAGAGGAGTGTTCGCTGCCTCCGGCTACAATCGCCCTCACGTCTCAGATTCACATTATTTGCCATTTGCAGTAAAACCACATTGGAATACATGTGTAAAAGTCCCCAGTGTGCACCACATAATATAAAATTAGCTAAAAAAAAAAATCTCTACATAAGTACAAGATCATCAACAGCTTGTGGAAAAAAGAAAATAGACAGAGACATTTTCACCTGTTCTTTGTTCCTCTTTGATGGATTTAAAGGAATAGGCCACTGTTTTTACATACTGACATATGTTCTTACCTTACCTTAGACTAGTTGATATGTACCTGTATGATCTTTGTCCGTGCGCTCTGTCATGCAAACGGAGCACAAACGCAGCCTCTTCCACATTCTGTATAGTTCTAACACCCAAAGACTTCACTCCCGCTCACTTCCGTCAATAGAAGCAGCATGACTTGTTGGAGTTAGTGTGCGGACATAGCGCTCCTCGTATTATTACCCCTCACAATATAGTACCTCTTTTTATCCGCTGAGAAAATCGGCATGTTACATTTCTGTGTTACTATACTTTGTAGTGCAACACGTCACATAACTGTATTTAGATAGGGAACACGTGGAGGAGTTTGGGAGCTTCTAACGGGAGCTGATTTGGAACTATACAGAATGTGGAAGAGGCTGCGTTTGTGCTCCGTTTGCATGACAGAGCGCACGGACAAAGATCATACAGGTACATATCAACTAGTCTAAGGTAAGGTAATAACATATGTCAGTATGTAAAAACGGTGGCCTATTCCTTTTTAAAGCCTTCTTCCAACTCATAAAGGTCAGATATCTAGGGGTAATACGGGACTCAGACTTAAATTAGCCACATCAAATCAGTAACATCAGCAGCTTTTTACCATCTGAAAAACCTTGCCAGGATCAAAAATGTATTGGAATAAATCAGACTTGGAGATTCTTATCCAGGATATTATCTCCAGTAAGTTAGACTACTGTAACAGCTGCTCACAAGTCTCTCTAAACAAACTGATAAACAGTATATTGAAAACACAGCGGCTCGAGTACTGACCAGAACCAGGAAGTACCATCACATTAGTCCTGGTCTCAGGTCTCTCCACTGGCTTCTGTGGCTCAGAGAATAGACTTTAAATCAGCTCTGTTTGTTACAAGTCTCTCCATGGTCCACACCAAAGTTCATCTGTGACATGTTAGTGCCATATGAACCAATTCTGAGAAGCACAGGGACTGGCCTCCTGCTGGTCCCAGAGTCAGGATTAAACACGAGGAGGCAGCAAACAGTCCTTGTCCTTGGGCAAGACACTTAACGCCACTTTTCCCAAAGCCCCCACTGAAAGATCAAGGCTATGCTCACACTCAGAGCAGCCGTCCTCCTGTGGACTCACCACCTGCAGAGGGTCAGTGAGGGGCTGGTGCTATGAGACTTGGGTGGCATCTCTGATTGCCACCCCCCTGACCCAGAAATGGATTAAAGGGTAGAAAATGGATGGATGGATGGAGGCAGCAAACGGATTCAGTCTTCAGGCTTCTTCTCTGACAATGTTCAAATCCAGGTTAAAGACAGATCTGTCTTGAGGCATTGCTTGTGTATGAACTGCGCTATACAATTAAACTTCTTCTTCTTCTCTCAGCGCATCAGAGCCGGGTGTCGGACATGGTGTTCTCTCTGGAGAGCGAGTGGGTGGTCAGCACGGGACACGACAAGAGCGTGAGCTGGATGTGCATCAAGAGCGGCTCCATGTTGGGACGCCACTACTTCACCGCCTGGGCCTCCTGTCTACAGTATCCTCTGGCCGCATGTGACGGCAAATGTATCTGTTTGTTTGAGATGTACACGAGATTCAAGCAACTCAAAGGTGCAAAACAGACAATCAGAGAAGAGAGCGTTTATTTGTCCCACGGTGAGAACATCTTGGGGTTGCAGCGCACATACAGGACGGTAGTAAGAGCACAGGAGCAGCACAACAAATATACAGAGACTGCTCCCACTCAAACCAATTGAGTTCCCCCTAAATAATTCACATTTTTCACCAAGTTTATTAAAAGTAATGTATGTTTTTTTTTCTTTTTTCTTCAACCTTTACTCACTTTTACTAAGTTCTAAAACCGTTTGTGGAAAGGCTAAATGCTTAAGACGAAATGCTACCTGCCGTGTTTTGCTATAGTAACCAGATAATAAGATAATCTACCAGAGATATAGAAAAAGTCACAAAGTTACAAAGACCAAGAATGCACATGAGATAGGTAATTTCACTTCCCAAAATTACGTGTTAACTACCGTCATTTCCGGACAAGAAGCTGCTCCTTTTTTCTTCTTTTTCTTTTGTGTATCTGTTGCTTTTGTAGAGATGTGGCTAAATGTGTAATTAGTTGTTGTCGTTTATGGACTTATTATTGTGACTCCAAGTTTTAGTACAGGTCACTGTAAAATGTAGTATTGTCTGATGTAGTGCTGTTTCTGCTTCAGCTTCAGTCGTCTTCTGTGACAATAGTATTTTTCCTTTCTAATAGAAGTCTGTTGGCCCTCAGTCTGTGTAGAGGACGAGCCCCGGTGATCCAAGATGGCGTCCTGTTTAATTGAATGGTTTGTGCTCAGTGGCGCTCCACTATGGGCACCGAAAGATTAACGAAACTCTCCCATATTTGGGCATCCTCTGGTCCTCCCAGTTCTACGCATTGGACGAGCTCCCATGATGCTTTGTGCCAAATACTAATGATGCTCTCATGCACGTGCACAGAGGGGCAGCGTTCTGACCAATCAGAGCTGCTGATCAGAGCAAAGCCAGAGCAGGAGACGATCGAGCAGAGTTTGTGGCAGTAAAGTGTGGATTTAAAGAAGACCAAGGATTTAAGAAGAAAAAAGGTTCAGGACGACCCTAAAATCCCACAAAATCTTCCTTTATGAAAGCTGTTGGTTCTCTGTCAGGTTCTCTGTCAGCTGAGGTTGAGCTGTTTTAGTTCTGTGGGACTTTTTCTGGGTAACGTGAATTTAGTCTGCAGTACCACAGCGCCATTGCCCATAGGTGGGACAGCTATAAGCTCTTAATACCCTACAGATATTATTATAGATCCATGGTAGAGGACCTGGTTTGTCCCCTCTGTCGCATGTTGATGATGTCACAGTAGTCTTTTGGCCCTAACGTGTCCTCAGATACGACCACGACACTCAGCATGCGTTCGTGGGCGACTGCTCGGGACAGATCACGCTGCTGAAGCTAGAGGCGCAGACCTACTCCATCATCACCACGCTCAAAGGACACGAAGGTGAGACCCTCCTCATCCTCACTCTGCATGACTCAGACCAGTGTTTGTCAACCTGTGGGCCGTGGGACATAGGTGCCTGGAGATGATGTCTGCTGGGGCTTGGAAATTATTCAATCTAGTGGTGGTCGATTCTTTTCAGTATCACGATATTTTTGACTTGCAATTAAATCAATACAGTAAAGTATTGTGATATTTATTTTAATAATTATCTGTTTCACTTTTTTGTTTTCACACACACACACACACTCACACTCAGGCACACATGCAGAAAAGACACACACACGCGTAGACAAGACACGCAGACAAGATACACACACATGCAGACAAGATACACACACATGCAGACAAGATACACACACATGCAGACAAGATACACACACTTGCAGACAAGATACACACACTTGCAGACAAGATACACACACATGCAGACAAGATACACACACATACAGACAAGATACACATGCAGACAAGATACACACACTTAGGCACACAGAAAAGCAGCAACACGTAGACAAGACACACAGACCCAGACACACACATGCAGACAAGATACACACATGCAGACAAGACACACACACAAACAAGCAGACAAGACACACACACAAACATGCAGAAAAGACACACACACAAACATGCAGACAAGACACACACACAAACATGCAGACAAGACACACACACACACACACACACATGCAGACAAGACACACAGACGCACACGCTCTGTTACAATACCTCCATGTTGGCAATAATAAACTTGACCAATTTATAAGCAAATGTAATCCATTGTTCTCAGTCAACTTTTATAACACACATATACAATCATGCACGTACTAGCATTATATATCCTACCTGTCTCATGCCACCTGGTCTTTCTCACAACGGTGCGTTCACTGACCTCGGAGAAAAAACCTCCACTGTCTGTCAAAGGCCTCTTCTCCTCCGTCACATGAACCAGCGAGAGCCGTGTGCGACATTTGCGCCAAAACAAAGCTATAAAAAGAGTTTTATCTCTGTCGTTCCAGACGTGTTACCATAGCGACTATCAGAGTTAGCAGCTAAACAGTGAGTGTAGAGAGAGAATCTGGCTTTTGTTCTGAGTATGTGAGAAATGAGTAGAATTATACATACATACAAAGAGTGGAAATGCTACTATTGTACTATACTTTTACTGTTTTCTTGCATTTTTAAAATGTATTTATACTAGCTTCTTTATTATGCTAAAGCTAGAGATGTTATACTAGCTTCTTTATTATGCTAAAGATGGAGATGTTATACTAGCTTCTTTATTATGCTAAAGCTAGAGATGTTATACTAGCTTCTTTATTATGCTAAAGATGGAGATTTGATTTTAGTATGGAATTATTGTCCATTTGTCTTGCGCTGTGTGCTCCTCATTCATACTGCTCTGTAACTGCTGATGCAACACTGAAATTTCCCCACTGTGGGTCGAATACAAGCCCCGGCGATCCAAGATGGCGCCCTATTCAAATGAATGGTTGTGCTCAGTGGCGCTTTGTGACGGCATGGGGGCTGAAAGATTAGCGGAAGTCTCCTGAAACTCGCAAAGATCTATGGGAAACTCGCCTGTATTTGGGCATCGTCTGGTCCTCCCGGTTCTGCGCAGTGGATGATCTCCCATAATGCGTTGCGCCAAACACGCGTGTGTGGGTCTCACACCGGGTCTCACGCACGTGCACAGAGGGGCTCAGCCGCGCTCCGACCAATCAGAGCAGTTCATCAGAGCGGGAGTTAGAGCGAGAGCCAGACGAGCAGAGTTTGTGGCACTAAAGTGTGGATTTAAACAAAACCGAAGGATTTAAGAAGAAAAAAAGTTCAGGATGACAAGGGACACTAAAATCCCCACAAAATCCGATCTTTATTAAAGCTGTAGGTTCTCTGTCAGCTGAGGTTGAGCTGTTTTAATATGCATTGAGTTCTATGGGGAAAATTTCTGGGTAGCCCTCGTGAATTTAGTCTGGTTCAGTCTGCAGTACCGCGAGAATCCCCTGAGCACGTGAGTTATTCAGCTACAAGCTAGTAATACCCTATCCAGTTAATATAATACATCCATGGTCGAATAAAGGATCTCTTCACCTTCATCTTAGTTTTGTCAGTGCTCCCTCTGGTGGTGCCACAGGGCGTTACAGGCAGAAACTCTTCACACGTTTCACCATTTTCTCCTGAAGACAATATTTCACGTTCTAAAACATCAAATGTCAAAGTGAATAGGTCCAATCGTTTGTTATTGGTGGGAAAATAATATTTGTTTTATTATTTTTTGCCCTGTGGTTCTCAGGCAGTATTGCGGCGCTGTGGTGGGACCCTGTCCAGAGGCTGCTGTTCTCAGGGGCCTCGGATCACAGCGTCATCATGTGGGACATCGGAGGACTGAAAGGACGGACGCTGCTGCTGCAAGGACACCAGTAAGAGAGAGACAAGAGGGGGAGAGAGACAAGAGGGAGAGAGAGAGACAAGAGGGAGAGAGAGAGACAAGAGGGAGAGAGAGAGACAAGAGGGAGAGAGAGAGACAAGAGGGAGAGAGAGAGACAAGAGGGAGAGAGACCAGTAGGAAGCGGAGAGGACAGGCATGTGAGAGAGACCGGAGAGAGAGAGAAAGACCAGAGGGAGAAGAGAAAGAGGCCAGCGAGAGGGAGAAGACTAGATCTAAATGGCACATAAATTGGTGACACAACGAGGCGGTGAACCACAGCCAGGGCAGTAATGCAGTTTGTTGTGACCTGCAGTGAGAAGGTCCAGGCGCTGAAATATCTGCAGCTCACTCGACAGTTGGTGTCATGTTCCGCAGACGGAGGCATCGCCGTGTGGAGCATGGACGTCCAGAGAACAGAGGTGACGTCACCACGGCAACCAAATACAGCCTTAACCACTGCTTTCATAACCCATTAGTATTTAGTTTGGATCCTCTCTTGTCTTTCACTCTCTGATCTTTATCTGGCCTCTCTTTCTCTCTGGTCTCTCTTGGGTCTCTCTCTCTCTGGTCTCTTTGCTCTCTCTCTCTCTGGTCTCTCCCCCTAGTCTCTCTTTGCTCTCTCTCTGGTCTCTCTTTCTGAACTCTCTTTGCTCTCTCTCTCTCTTTGCTCTCTCTCTCTGGTCTCTCTGGTCTCATTCTCTCTCTCTCTATCTCTCTCTCTGTTATACAATGATTTCTTCTATGGATTCTTACTGGACAAACCTCCGTCTTGTCGCAGGCTCCTCAGTGGTTGGAGAGCGACTCGTGCCAAAAGTGCGAGCAGCCGTTTTTCTGGAACATAAAACAGATGTGGGACAACAAGACTCTGGGACTGAGACAGGTATAAGATCTGTGTGTGTGTGTGCATGTGTGTGTGCATGTGCGTGTGTGTTACCTTTCAATGTATTTATGTATCAAATCACAACAGCAGTCGTCTCAGAGGACTTTAGAAGCAACAGATCAGAGAATAAACTAAAACGTGTGTGAGACGTGCACGGACCACAGTTCTCGTGCACGCTCTGTTTACAAGTCACTGTCGGCACAAGCTTTTTTTCATTTTTCCACCACGTCAGACAAGGTAGACATAGATAACCTTTAGATAACCTTTCGACTGGAAGAGTTTTGAAATGGACTTCTCCAAACTGGACCTGCGGTGAGAGTCCACTCGGGAAAAGAAAATCCACCTGTACACCTTTATGACTCAAAGTTGTTTTTAGACCGATCCATGCTCCTCTGACTGGTTTGTTCTTGTTGGCAGCACCACTGCAGGAAGTGCGGCAAAGCGGTTTGTGGGAAATGTAGTTCAAAGCGGTCCACGTTTCCCATCATGGGGTTCGAGTTCCCTGTGAGAGTCTGCGACGCCTGTTTCGACTCCATCAAAGACGAAGAGTGAGTGTGCGATAATATACTAGCGTTATCATTATATATTTATTATTATTATTATTCTTCTTATACTGTTTAGTTAACTAATACAACTTTAATTTCTTGTGATGGAGGACTTTGTCATCTGTTATACAAGATGACAAAGTCCTCTCTGTGTGACTGCTGACGTGCACACAGAGAGACACGCGCACACACACACACACACACACAGAGAGATGCACACAGAGAGACACGCACATACAGAGATACACACACACACATAGAGATTTACACACGCACACACACAAAGAGAGATACACACACACACACACGCACACACATGCACACTCATTTAAGTTGTGGTCAATATAAGCTATAGTTGAACTCTGCACTGGTGTCGTTCCAGCCGCTCTCCTCTGGCCTCATTCCACGAAGGCAAACACAACATCGCACACATGGACCTGGACCAGACCAGAGGACTCATGGTCACCTGTGGCAGCGACCGCGTCGTCAAGGTAACGGAGACCAGAGAGAGAGACCAGAGAGAGAGACCAGAGAGAGAGACCAGAGAGAGAGACCAGAGAGAGAGACCAGAGAGAGAGACCAGAGAGAGAGACCAGAGAGAGAGACCAGAGAGAGAGACCAGAGAGAGAGACCAGAGAGAGAGACCAGAGAGAGAGACCAGAGAGAGAGACCAGAGAGAGAGACCAGAGAGAGAGACCAGAGAGAGAGACCAGAGAGAGAGACCAGAGAGAGAGACCAGAGAGAGAGACCAGAGAGAGAGACCAGAGAGAGAGACCAGAGAGAGAGACCAGAGAGAGACCAGAGAGAGAGACCAGAGAGAGACCAGAGAGAGAGACCAGAGAGAGAGACCAGAGAGAGAGACCAGAGAGAGAGACCAGAGAGAGAGACCAGAGAGAGAGACCAGAGAGAGACCAGAGAGAGAGACCAGAGAGAGAGACCAGAGAGAGAGACCAGAGAGAGAGACCAGAGAGAGAGACCATTGATTGACAGCTCAATCTCTGTTTCTCCACAGATCTGGGACATGACGCAGGTTGTCGGCTGCAGCTTAGCAACCGGCTTTTCTGCGCGCTGATTGGTCAAGCGTTGACACAGGTCCCGCCCCATGCTCCTCCTCCTCCTTCTTTGTACAGACCCCCCCTCCCCTCCCCCCTCTCCCTCATCACTGACAACTGTCCGGCTGCGTTCACTTTCTCGTGTCAACCCTCGACACAGGACAGAGGTTTTGACAGGTTTTGAATCATGAAACTCAAATTCCAGTCTTTAACCACGACTTTGTCTGATTTGAACTGACGAAGCACAATGGTGTGCGTTTGTGTGTGTGCGAGCAGTTGTGCGTGTGTGTGTGTATGTCTGTGTGTGTGGATTAGTTTACATATTGTTAATATTTCAAGCCTTTTGTTTTCCTGTGTTTGTCATATTTGCACTGTAAACTTTTGCTACCTGAGCTCTTCCCTTGGTACGGCCAATTTCTGATTAATGAGAAAACTCGAGGCAAGTTTTTTGTATAGCACAGTTCACACACAAGGCATTAAAATCATAGATCACAGTGCATTAAGAGTGAAGATAAAATCCTTCAGTTGCAGCAAAACAGAACTGTTTTAACCTGGATTTGAACACTGTCAGAGAAGAAGCCTGTCTCACATTTTCATGAAGACTGTTCCAGGTTTTAGCTGCATGAATCTGAAACTCTGCCTCCACATGTTCAGTCCTGACTCTGAGGAGCACAGGGACTCTTGGACCAGCAGGAGGCCAGTCCCTGTGCTCCTCAGAGTCCCAGCAGGAGGCCAGTCCCTGTGCTCCTCAGAGTCCCAAATGTTTTGTCACCAAATAAATGTTCATACATTTCCATATTTCCGCTCAAATACCTCTCATCGGTGGCTTCCACTGTGTGTTGCTGATATTTGCTGCAGTTCCTAGCTTTAGTGTTTCAAAATTAACACATTTTTGTCACAAAAGAAAGTCTTCTAAAAGTAAAATATTGTGAACAAATCAGACCACACCATTCCATCGTCACAGAATAGACAAAAACTGAGCCCTGTGAGTCACTCCCTGATGCTTTGGGCTGATTGGCTGAATGAGGGGGGTCCTCTCGTTTGAAAATGCTGATTTAAAAGCTTCAACAGAGGCCAGATGAAATTATAGAAATGTGTGATTGAGAGCAAGGAACTATACTGACTGCAAAAAGTGTTAAAAAATGTGTACAAAGATTACATTTGGCAACATTTGTCTTAATTTGAGCCCATTCTGACTGCCTTAAAACAAGATTTGCAGATGGGACAAAGCAACAGTTTTTAGCACTTTTTTCAGTGTAGTTATTGTATTGTATTACATAGTTCCATTGTTTATGGTTTGAAACTTAGGTACCCCAGCTTTAAAGCCTTCCCTTTCTCTGCAACAAGTGTGCACTGAATCTATACATGGTTCAAAACGTATAACTACAATTGCTTTTACTTTAAATGTACGGAAATGTGCTTTAAGACCCATAACCGAAGCCCAACCTCTGCTTTTTCCTCCCCTTGTAGCAAAACCATTATTATAAGTTTAAATCCGTCACTATTTTGACTTTATTTTTCACTCGTAGGCCTTAAATCACTCAGGAGTTTTGCATTTAACTCTGCTTTACACGTTCACCTTTGTTTTATGATTTATTAGTAGTAGTATTTGAGGATACATATGCAAGACAATCAAATTCTATAAGTTTGAAGACAAAATTAGCCTTAGCATAGCATTTATTAATATTAGTCTTTTTCTTATGTATATTTCCTCATATTTAAAAATACGTAACTCTAGCTATGATTTTAGGCAATATTTGTACATGATAAGCATTACCAAGCTATTAATAATTAGTCAGCTAAAAGTCAAGACACTAATACGTTAAGAGATATTTTTTTAGCTGCATGTTGCCCGCATTGTTCCTCATCAGACACAGACCTGGAGTTGTGTTTGGATCCATCCAGGCTGGTTTCAGGAAGTTCAGTTTTTTGGAAGTCCAGGATTTCTGTTTAAAGGAGACAAAAGTTTCGGAGCTGTCATGTGTTATTGGAAATTAAAAATATATCTATGTAATTTATGTATGAGTAACTGGTAACATACATTCACATATACACACACACATACACACACACATACAAACACACACAAACCCATACACACACGCACACGCACACACACACACAGTTTCTGAGTAGTATTTCCAAATTGAGCATTGTAAATTACATTTTTTTCTATGTGAAGATGAAACTTGCAGCCTGTAATCTTCAAAGTTTGGGGCAAAAGAACTAATTCGGTCACTCCCTCTAGTGGTAGCATAGGGAGGTACAGGCAGAAAGCATGTTTGTTCCACCATATGTTCTACGTTATTTTATATTCTAAACCATGCAATGAAAAAAAAGTAAATAGTCTTATTTTAGTTTTTAATGGACAGAAATAATGCATAACACTTAATTTTTGAACCACTTACATTTGTTTTTCTTTTTCTTGGCCTAAATAAATCTCTCATTACAAATTTTTCATATTTGGTAGATTTTCTTAACGTGAGCTTCCCTCTGTCTTTCAATTATTGGTCTTTATTATTTAATATTTTTGTATAAACTATTGAACAGCCAAACAGTTGACGTTTTGGCCTCAGTTTTCCATGAATGTAAGCAAAATGTGTGCTCTGCTTTCTCACTTGAATCGATTCCTATTGTATAAAATAAACATATTTTAATCTTTTGTGGTTTTTGAGTTAACGTCAGGTATGCACTCCCAAAGAGGCCACAGAATATAGAGCTGGGATAAACAGGGAAGTTCAAATACTAGGGTAAAGGAATAGAAGAGGCTAATTCGCTTTTTAGCAGATGGCATATTCAGTATTTACCAGTTAACAAATGTTAACTAGCTATTTAGCAATTAGCATTAGCACGGGTACAGTTAGAAATGAAATATTCTCCAGAAGCATCACTTGCATTATTTAGCCATTTATTGAGAAACTCTTAGCTCTTTTTGGAAAGTTCGAAAGAATAATGTATAATTTATTTACTTAATCAGGGGAGGTTTTTGGCTGTAAAAAAAAAAACATTCAGATTCCAACCCTTTCTACTCATTGCTTAAGGGTAATTTCTGCAACTTCAACTGTATTTAAATTTGAAAAACATATTGACCATATGACCCTGTAGAATTAAGTATTTTTCATTATATACAAAAGCAGTCCCTCTCCATAGATAACCATCACCAGTGAGTTTTGCTGGAGGAGAATAGTTAGACCAATGGGGACAGGTCTCAGCTGTCCATCAAGTAGTCGTAAGTATGTAGATAATTCCTAGTTAAAATACAAAAATCAACATAATTATACTCCCTCAACTCATTCATAGACCTTTATTGATCTTACATTGAGAGCTTGTACAATTGTTATTACTTTGTTATACCGCTCAAAGTGGACTTACAAAACGAAAATACTACTTCCAGACTTTTAGACACGCAACACATTGTAAAACACACAATACAAGTTTTAATATTTGCAACATACAAGGCTTAACACGGAGTGTGAGTGACTTTGGTCGAAACAGATTCCCAAAGATTTGACAAAGAAATGAAGCCACCACACAAACTATTTTAATGCATGTATTAAGAAATAAACTATGTATTTATAACTATTAGTATCACAAATCGCATCACTTGACTACATAAGCACACATGCATTAGAAGTGGCAGAAACTGGACAAGAGAACCTTAAGCTGTGATATTGACAATAGATTTAATATTACCATTTGTTTGAGTCATTTTAAATAGCATCAAAATGGACAGAAATAAGCATTCTCTCCTCATCATACCCAGAGTTATATTGAGTTGCATTTTTCATGTTTTGTCCATTCTGTTACACAAGAAACACAGATGTTTTGATGTGCTCTTTGAATATGGAGCTGTCCTGTGCTGTTTTAAGTCCATCAATCCTTTTGGGCACAGAATAAATCCATGGTAACTGTATGCCGCTCATATGGAAGACCAGGCTCTGTTTAATTTCCATTATTTGTATTTGCAGACATTCATTATTATTTATTTAATTAGACTGCATTATTGGGTCTTTTATTGAGAAACTCTTTGGGCTCTTGAAAGAAAAGTATATATTTGAATTTTGGACCGACGTCTTCTCACGGCCTTCAGCAGTTAGCATTAGCATTATTGACTTTATTTACGAGTGAATAATGCTCATGCTAACGCGCTAGGTACCCATTTTTAGAGGTTGTAACGATGGTGTTGATGGGAATTGGCTCAAATTAAACTGATGGAAAAGTGGATACAGGATATTCTCTATTTGCTCAAAAAATGCTAATTCAGTAATTTAGCAGTTAGCATTTGCACGATAGACTGTAAGCATACTGTAAGAATTAGATTAGCACAGATACAGTTTTGCAATTACATCTTCTCCAGGCATTATTAGGCCATTGATTAAGAAACTCCTTGGCCTCTTATTGGAAAATTCAAAAGAAAAGTATATCTTAGGGAAAGTTTTTGACTTATATTGCCAACATTTTTTGAGGTTTGAACCCTTTCTAATTATATTGTATTTCAATTTGAAAAGAACACATATGTTTGACCATGTAGTATCATCTAAATTAAGTGTTTTCCATAACACATACTATTCCCTTACCTTAGAACAACACCTAATTAGCACTTAATTAGCTGTTAATTAGTGAGGGCTAAACTAAATTGCAATTTGTTTTGTTTTTTATTAGTAAGGTTTGACCAGAGCACGTCTAAAAGCAGATGAGACAAATAATGCAAAGTCGCCTGCACTACTTCACAAAGCAGTAAAATTCATTGGTTTTAGCGTCAGCTGGAGCCGGGGGGTTTCTCTCAGTGCGGTTGGAAGGTTTTGGCCATGTCCTCGAGCAGTGCCATCAGCTTCTGCTCCTCCAGGGGAGAGCTGTGGGTCCAGGCCAGAGGCAGGTGGGCTGGGACCAGGGCTCGGTCTGTCCAGAAAACACACAGATGGGATTTGTCTTATATGTTTCCTTTTAGACAATAAGAAAGTAGCTGGAAGGATGCATTTGTGCTGATGCAGAGACATAGAATCTATATTTACTTTGCTGATAGAGACCAGGGAGAGAGACCAGAGAGAGAGACCAGAGAGGGAGACGAGAGAGAGAGACAAGAGAGAGACCAGGGAGAGAGACCAGAGAGAGAGACCAGAGAGGGAGACGAGAGAGAGAGACAAGAGAGAGGCCAGAGAGAGACAAGAGGGACTAGAGAGAGACCAGAGTGAGATCAGAGAGAAACCAGGCTGTGAGACCAGAGACGGAGCAGGGACAGAGACAAGAGAGAAACCAGGGAGAGATCAGAGAGAGGGACCAGAGAGAGACCAGAGAGGAAAACCAAATTGAGATCCCAGTGAGAGAACAGAGATAAGACAAGAGAGAGAAAGACAACAGTGAGGAGACAAGAGAGACCAGAGAGAGAGGCTAGAGAGGGACAAGCTGGGGAGAGACCAGAGTGAGATTATCATTGCATTTCCTATGTTTGAACGGTTTGATTCTCTGATCTGTTGTTGGCGAATCTACTCAAATATGGTCTGTACCTTGGTAGAATCTCCCGCTGGGGTTCTTGGTCACTGATTCACACACGGCGAGCCACAGAACCGTGTCGGCGCCCTGCTCCGGAGAACGCAGGCTGCTCTTCATGGACCGGTGGAAGTCTGGCATCGCGTTGGCTACAGCTGCAGCCATGAAGAAGAAGAACATTTATTTGTGTTGCACGTTTGATACAGGACTGCAACTTGTGACACAGTCCAAAACAAAGGTCTGTCAATACCAGGTGTCTCCATCATTTTTTGTTTGCTACTTTGGTCCAACAGAGAGAGACCAGAGAGAGACTAAAGAGAGACCAGAGAGATAGAGACCAGCAAGAGACCTGAGTGAGAATATAATATAAATATTTATAAAGATATAATATAAAGAGAGAACTTTGAGGGACAGGAGAGAGACTAAAGAGAGAGACCTGTGAGAGACTAAAGAGAGACTAGAGAGAGACCAGAGAGAGAGAGAGAGACTAAAGAGAGACCAGAGAGAGACTAAAGAGAAACCTGTGAGGGACCAGAGAGAGACTAAAGAGAGACTAAAGAGAGACTAAAGAGAGACCAGTGAGAGACTAGAGAGAGACTAGAGAGAGACTAGAGAGAGACCAGAGAGAGACCAGTGAGAGACCAGAGAGAGACCAGTGAGAGACCAGAGAGAGACCAGAGAGAGACCAGAGAGAGAGAAAGACCTGTGAAAGACCAGAGAGAGAGATACTTGTGAAAGACCAGAGAGAGACTGAAGAGAGACCAGAGAGAGAGACCACGGAGAGAGAGATTAGAGACAGAGCAGAGAGACACTAGGGACCAGATGGTAAGTGTCAGTGGTGAGACTTAATACCAGGATAGATTTTCTTACTTCCCTCCATCACGATGTTAAACTATTGCTCTTTGGGATGTTGTGATGTCTCATAAACCTTTAGTCTGTGCTGTGCTCCTGTCTCAAACCATTGAACCAAAGTCTATTTCTGAGCTAGCAGAAGCTGTGGATGTGTGATTACTCGGGGTGTCGACCCATCCGGGGTGCATCACCGAGAAGTGGATGGTGGGGTGAACTTTTGCCCACTGCTCCGTCAGGACCACCTGCTGCCGCTGCAAGACAACACATTCCCAGTACTTTTATCAGAGATGGAAGGAAAGATAACTAGTGGGATTTAAACAGATCTACAACCTCAGTCCTGGGTTCACAGCCTCAGTCCTGGATCTACAGCCTCAGTCCTGGGTCTACAGCCTCAGTCCTGGATCTACAGCCTCAGTCCTGGGTCTACAGCCTCAGTCCTGGGTCTGCAGCCTCAGTCCTGGATCTACAGCCTCAGTCCTGGGTCTACAGCCTCAGTCCTGGATCTACAGCCTCAGTCCTGGGTCTACAGCCTCAGTCCTGGATCTACAGCCTCAGTCCTGGATCTACAGCCTCAGTCCTAGATCTACAGCCTCAGTCCTGGGTCTACAGCCTCAGTCCTGGGTCTACAGCCTCAGTCCTGGGTCTACAGCCTCAGTCCTGGATCAGCTACAGCCTCAGTCCTGGGTCTACAGCCTCAGTCCTGGATCAGCTACAGCCTCAGTCCTGGGTCTAGAGCCTTACCTTGTGCTGGGCGTAGACCATGGTGCCGTCATAGCGTCCTCTGTCTGACTGGAGGTTTCCGACTCTCAGCTTCTGCACAAGCATCCCTCCTGAAGACACTGTAATCTGTAACAAAAGTAAAAAGTAATCTTGGCAAAAGTATCCAAAATCCTACGAATATTTGTATTTGGTTATAATATGCTCCTCCCATGGATCACTGATATATATTTTATATTCTATCTATTCAAACAAAATATCATATTGTTTTGTTTAGACTGAGGACTTTGCAGTAGTAACTCACCACTCTGGGATCTGGGCTCTTCTCGATCAGAGGAATAAGGCTCTTGGTGAGGATGTAGACCCCTGGTGGAGGAGCAGAGAATTACAAAGACGATGAGTCGCAGTAATACAGAAATGTTCCTATGTCTCTGGATCCATTTGGAAGTGGAAGCATGGAAAAATAAAGTGCAAAATGCCATCTTTTTGAGAAGTGGTTTTCTTTGGGTCCAGGAGGGAGTTTGTGACAGTCTCTCTAGAGAGTCTGGGACAGCGTTTTATCATTGAATGAAGACAATAAACAGTAGAGAAAGAGAGAGAGACAGAGACTAGAGAGAGACTAAAGAGCTAGAGAGATCAGAGAGAGAGACCAGAGAGAGACCAGAGAGACTAAAGAGAGAGATCAGAGAGAGAGACCAGAGAGAGGGACTAGAGAGAGACCAGAGAGATAGACTAAATAGAAAGACCAGAGAAAGACCAGAGAGGGACCACAGAGAGACCAGAGAGAGAAACCAGAGAGAGAGACTAGAGCGAGAGATGGGCCAGAGAGAGAGAGACGAGAGAGAGAAACCAGAGAGAGAGACTAGAGCGAGAGATGGGCCAGAGAGAGAGAGACGAGAGAGAGACTAGAGAGAGACTAGAGAGAGACTAGAGAGAGACTAGAGAGAGACTAGAGAGAGACTAGAGAGAGACTAGATAGAGACTAGAGAGAGACTAGAGAGAGACTAGAGAGAGACTAGAGAGAATCAGAATCAGAATCATTTTTATTGCCACGTAAGTAACAGGAGGTCACAGACTTGGAAATTGCTTTGGCTCAGTGCAACAGTCAGAAAGAGATAATAAAAATAAGAATAAAAAACACTTCTAAAGAATAAATTTAAATTGAAAATAGAGTTACAGTTACTATTTACAATATACAAGTGCACATGGTGCCCACAATGTAAGGAGACAGCAGTACAGTGAAGTAAAGTGACGTATGATGGGCAGTAAAGTGACTTTATAGAGGGACTAGAGAGAGACTCAAGAGAGAGACCAGAAAGAGAGTGACTAGAGCGAGAGATGGGCCAGAGAGAGAGAGACTAGAGAGAGACCAGAGAGAGAGACTAAATAGCAAGACCAGAGAAAGGCTAGAGAGGGACCAGAGAGAGAAACCAGAGAGAGAGAGAGAATAGAGCGAGAGATGGGCTAGAGAGAGAGAGACTAGAGAGAGACCAGAGAGAGACTAGAGAGCGAGACAAGAGAGAGAGACAAGAGAGAGACCAGAGAGAGACCAGAGAGAGACTAGAGAGAGAGACAAGAGAGAGAGACAAGTGAGAGACCAGAGAGAGACCAGAGAGAGACTAGAGAGAGAGACAAGAGAGAGAGACAAGAGAGAGTCGAGCGAGAGACCAGAGAGAGAGAGATAGATCACAGAGAGAGACTAGAGCGAGAGACTAGACCTAGACCAGAGACCAGAGACAGACCAGGACAAATGAATAAAGAATTGCAAAGCAGAAATGGCAACAACACATAATCACATTCATTATTCTTATTCGCTGTTCACTTTTAAAATTGCATGTACAGCGTCGAGTCCAACCACAATTCCAATTAACCTCACGGCAGATTGAAATCATTTAACGTGGCGTGACTGGAGTGACTCACCCAGGACGTTGGTGGCAAAACTCTTCTCCAAACCCTCGGCGTTCACCTCCCTCTGACTCATGATGGCTCCGGCGTTGTTGATCTGTGAGAGAGTCAAACGTGAATCATTTCGGGAACATAAAGTGCAGTGAGCAGAGGGCGGGAGGGACGTGGGCCATGGGTGCTGCTCCGTCCCAGTCCCAGGGGAGAAGAAGACTGTGGGCTATGAGAACACGGCAAAAACTGATAAAATATGAGAAAATGAATGCTTAGAATCAAGTGTTTTTATCTTAATCTGAGACATTCTGACTGTGTTAAAACCAGATTCTCCAATGCGACAAAACCATTTAGTTTTATTCAAACAACTGTTGCTTTATTTTGTCATTCCAAGGGAGACATTTCTGTATCTTTTTAAAACACTATTTATTTATTTGTTTATTTGAGCAGACAAGTACTGCTCAAAAGGAGTGGGCCGAAGCAAAAGCTTATTGGTGCCCACCCCCAAAACACTACATAAAAATATACACACTTTACATAGAACAGCAACTATGCAAATGTAAAAAATAAACAAGAAAGAACAGACGATAACAGCAACATTAACGGCAAATAATGGCAACTGTTTAAAGCAACATCACTCTTCAAGGTCAATAAAGATCATAATGACTATAATAAGCAACAAAACGAAGTTGATAAAATAGAAATAAAAAAACAAAACAAAACAAAAACAAACACCAATTTATTTTAGCCCGATTGCGCCCCCTAGTGACATATAATTTCCTCCTCTTTATATTTATCGAAAGTCTTTTGTTTGTATTTAAATTTGAACACATTAATGTTTGGACTATGTTTCATCTCCCGCTCCAAATTATTCCACAGTTGAACCCCATTAACTGTGGGGCTGAATCTTTTCAGTGTTGAGCTGTGTTTCTGTATCATCAAGTTCAATTCTTCTTGTAGTTCGTAACAACTAGTTCGCTCTTGAAACCTTTTCTGTATTTGTTTTGGTAAATGTTTATATCTTGCTTTATATATCAACTGTACAGTCTGGAACTCAATAAGATCATAAAACTTCATAATCTTTGAATTTATAAATAACGCGTTTGTATGATCTCGAACAGCCACTTTATGAATGATTCGAATGGCTCTTTTTTGCAGCATCACTAACGGTTTGACTGTGTTTTTGTAAGTGTTTCCCCAGATCACAGAGCAGTAATTCAGATATGGCAGAATCAGAGAACAGTATAAAGTATGTAGAGCTTTGAAATTTAAAAACTGCTTTGCTTTTGCTATTACGGAGATACTTTTTGATATTTTAGTGGATATGTATTTAATGTGTTGTTTCCAAGTTAGCCTGTTGTCTATTATAACTCCAAGAAATTTGATTTCTTGCACCTGTTCTAAGACAATACCCTCTACACTATAACACTATAATTTTGTTCATTGTCCCGTTGGAAAAACTTGTTGCTTCGTCAGAATGTGTTCATCCATCCATCCATCCATCCATTTTCTTCCCCTTAATCCATTTCTGGGTCGGGGGTGGCAGTCAGAGCTGCACCCAGTCCACAGAGCACCAGCCCCTCACTGATCCTCCTGCAGGTGGTGAGTCCACAGGAGCTGAGATCTTTCAGTGGGGGCTTCAGGCAAAGTAGGGTTAAGTGTCTTGCCCAAGGACACAACGACAGCAGTCATCATTGGGAGTCGTGAAGTAGGTCTTACAGTGGGCTCGAACCCACGACCTTCAGGCCCAAAGGCCAATGCTCTACCAACTGAGCTACTGTCGCTACACTGAGAATGTGTTCAAATTAAGATAAATGTAACCAAATTTTAGCCATTTTGTCACTTACTTTTCATCACTTTTTTGCAGTGAATGATAATAATCTATAATAATGCATAGGTTTTGAATAACGTATTTAGGACGCTCAAAGTCTCTTTACATATTATTGTTATTCTTTCCAAACACTGTGGCGATAAACTACTACTGTAGCCACAGGTGCCCTGGGGCACACTGACAGAAGCGAGGCAACCCGTCTGTTCCATCAGTCCCTCCGACCACCACCAACCACTCACACACACACCAGACTCATTCTAATGTGGGGGAAGTGTCTTGCCTAAGGACACAACCACAGTTTGGCACTTTACCGCCGCAGAGGTCTCCCATCACAGTACGAACCAGACCCCGCCCTGCATAGCTTCAGAGGTCTGACTGTATCTGATTTCCACCATGGTATGAACTAACAGGCCTCGCTCTGGCTCCTATTGTCTCACATTGAAAAGTACATTGCTCCCACGTCAAAAACAGACCTTTAGTTGTTTTTAGATCAATCCACGCTCAGGAGACTTCTGGCACTAATATGTAACTCCGCCCCTTCTGTCTAAAATGTCCTGTCTCAGTCCTGTAATGTCTGTGATGTCATTGCATCACTATGACATCACTGAGACATACTAGAAAGAGAAAGAGGGACCAGAGAGAGAGACCATATACAGTGCCTAGCGAAAGTATGCGGCCCCTTTGAACCTTTCAACATTTCACCACATTTCAGGCTTCAAACATAAAGATATAAAAAATATTTTATTTGTCAAGAATCAACAACAAGTGGGACACAATCGTGAAGTGGAACGAAATTTATTGGATAATTTAAACTTTTTTAACAAATAAAAAACTGAAAAGTGGGGCGTGCAATATTATTCGGCCCCCTTGCGCTAATACTTTGTGGCGCCACCTTTTGCTGCAGTTACAGCTGCAAGTCGCTTGGGGTATGTCTCTATCAGTTTTGCACATCGAGAGACTGGAATTCTTGCCCATTCTTCCTTGCAAAACAGCTCTAGCTCAGTGAGGTTGGATGGAGAGCGTTTGTGAACAGCAGTCTTCAGCTCTTTCCACAGATTCTCGATTGGATTCAGGTCTGGACTTTGACTTGGCCATTCTAACACCTGGATACGTCTATTTGTGAACCATTCCATTGTAGATTTGGCTTTATGTTTTGGATCATTGTCCTGTTGGAAGACAAATCTCCGTCCCAGTCTCAGGTCTTTTGCAGACTCCAACAGGTTTTCTTCCAGAATGGTCCTGTATTTGGCTCCATCCATCTTCCCATCAATTTTAGCCATCTTCCCTGTCCCTGCTGAAGAAAAGCAGGCCCAAACCATGATGCTGCCACCACCATGTTTGACAGTGGGGATGGTGTGTTCAGGGTGATGAGCTGTGTTGCTTTTACGCCAAACATATCGTTTTGCATTGTGGCCAAAAAGTTCGATTTTGGTTTCATCTGACCAGAGCACCTTCTTCCACATGTTTGGTGTGTCTCCCAGGTGGCTTGTGGCAAACTTTAAACAAGACTTTTTATGGATATCTTTGAGAAATGGCTTTCTTCTTGCCACTCTTCCATAAAGGCCAGATTTGTGCAGTGCACGACTGATTGTTGTCTTATGGACAGACTCTCCCACCTCAGCTGTAGTTATCTGCAGTTCATCCAGAGTGATCATGGGCCTCTTGGCTGCATCTCTGATCAGTCTTCTCCTTGTTTGAGATGAAAGTTTGGAGGGACGGCCGGGTCTTGGTAGATTTGCAGTGGTCTGATACTCCTTCCATTTCAATATAATTGCTTGCACAGTGCTCCTTGAGATGTTTAAAGCTTGGGAAATCTTTTTGTATCCAAATCCGGCTTTAAACTTCTCCACAACAGTATCTCGGACCTGCCTGGTGTGTTCCTTTGTCTTCATGGTTCTCTCTGCGCTTTAAACAGAACCCTGAGACTATCAAAGAGCAGGTGCATTTATACGGAGACTTGATTACACACAGGTGCATTCTATTTATCATCATCAGTCATTTAGGACAACATTGGATCATTCAAAGATCCTCACTGAACTTCTGGACTGAGTTTGCTGCACTGAAAGTAAAGGGGCCGAATAATATTGCACGCCCCACTTTTCAGTTTTTTATTTGTTAAAAAAGTTTAAATTATCCAATACATTTCGTTCCACTTCACGATTGTGTCCCACTTGTTGTTGATTCATGACAAAAAATTTAAATTTTATATCTTTATGTTTGAAGCCTGAAATGTGGCGAAATATTGAAAGGTTCAAGGGGGCCGAATACTTTATATATAGAGAGAGAGAACAGAGAAAGAGAATACAATCTGATTCTGCTTTCATATTTGTGCTTTTTTTCACCTCTTTAGTTTAATAATCTCTTTTTTTTGCCTTAAAATTATTGCCTTGTTGTGTTTTTTCAAAACTCCCTCTGGTGGCCGCAGAGGGAGTTACAGGCCTATTGCATTATTTACCCTTCACACTTGTTTCACTATACATTTTCTACTGAAGATATTATTCCACATGAACACATTCAAAACAAAGTAAATGGTCTCTCTCTCTCTCTCTCTCTCTCTCTCTCTCTCTCTCTCTCTCGAACATTACAAAGAGAATCCTTTGTTACCAGGACGTTGAGGGTCTTGTATTTCCGCTTGAAGCCCTCGGTGAACTCCCAAACCTTCTTAGTCTCAGACAGATCCAGGATGTGCACAAAGACCTCCTGCAAAAAGAAAAACGTTCCAATAGATGTGAAAAATGTGGAGGTTATAATGATTTTAAAAACTCTCTTTAAACCTGTCTGAGGTTCACATGACGGATACATAAATCATTACATTCACTGCATTTTGGTATCGCCCTAAATTACGGTACTTTAACTCTGAGGACTTTACAACGACCAGAGACAGAGAGAGAGAGAGAGAGAACAGAGAGAGACCAGAGAGAGAGAGAGCAGAGAGAGAGAGCAGATAGAGAGCAACAGAAATAGAGAGACACCAGAGAATGAGAGAGACCAGAGAGAGAGAGTGAGAGAGAGACCAGAGAGAGAGCAGATAGAGAGCAACAGAAATAGAGAGACACTAGAGAGAGAGAGACAAGAAAGAGAGACACCAGAGAGAGAGAGACAGAAAGAGAGATAAAGACCAGAGAAAGAGAGGGAAAGAGAGAGAGACAAGAGAGAGAGAAACCAGGGAGAGAGACCACAGAGAGGGACCAGAGAGAGAGACAGAAAGAGACGAGAGAGAGAAAGAGAACTTGTGCAAGCGTTGATGTGGTGCTCTCACGTTTACCCCTGTACTCTCACTCACTTTGTTTCCTGTTTCCTTGACGATGTCGGCTCTGGCTTCTTCAGCTTTGTCCTTGTTTCGACAAACCATGTGTAGCGTGCCGCCTGCAAGACGAGAGAGTATATTGTGTCATTTTCATTGTTTACTGCTTTGTTTCTGCGGACAATGTTAGTTTTTCGTTGTGCATAATATCGAATTATCTTTATTTATCCATTTATCTATTTATCTATTTATCTATGGCCCGGTTTCGACGGAGACGCTGTGAAGCTATTATCAAAAACGACCAGGCTCTCTCTCTGTCTGTCTCTGTCTCTCTCTTTCTGTCTCTGTCTCTCTCTTTCTGTCTCTCACTCTTTGTCTGTCTGTCTCTCTGTCTCTCTGTCTCTCTCTCTCTCTCTCTCCCTCTCTCTGTGTGTCTCTCTCTCTCTCTGTGTCTCTCTCTGTCTTGGGTTATTATTATTATTATTACCGTTATTATTTTAGTATAGGGTTGTGTCTGACCTCTCTTGGCGATGCCCATGGCGGTGGCTTTCCCGATGCCGCTGTTGGCTCCTGTGACCATGAACACACGTCCGGCCAGAGACACGTCCAGATCCTTCTCCACAAAACGCTTCGATGCAACGAGGAACGGATTTCTGCAAAACACATATTTGCCTTTACTGATGGGACCTGTCTCTGCTGCTGTAACACTAGGACAATCAGGAAACTAATGCTAATGCTACTGCTGCGGCTACTACTACTGCTATTGCTACTACTACTGCTACTGCTATTGCTAGAGCAGCAGTTCTGAGAAATTCCCAAGAAAATGTATGTTTTTTCACTCGATAAGTAATAAGTCTTAACTTACAAGATTTTTACCTTTACTCACTGTTGATAAGAGTGAACTGGTGAATATAACTTGAAATGCAGCAAAAATGCAGTTTGTTGAAAAAGACTAATGCTAATGACCGAATGCTAACTGCTGTCAGTAAACTGTGCGTTGCTATGGTAACTAGCGCTTCCTCTTCTCCGGTGGAAAACCAAGCTAATCCAGGACCAGGACCCAAACCAAAACCGCTAAATTTGAATTTTACTTTAAAAAGAACGGACAAACTTAGAAATAAACAAAAAAAATCTACATATAGAGATAGAATAAGTCACAAAGTTATGAAAACCATGATACACACGCTGAGTTAATTGTCTGCTCTGGGAGTTCTACAGAATGCATTCTAGTTTCAAAAACACTTGGCAAAAAGTCCTTCGAAAGAAGAAAAGAATCCTTCGAAAGCACGACTGGACAGAACCGAACCCAACTGCCCCAAGTGAAGGGCTAACCACTCAGACAACATGTCCAGATCAAAGACCGACTTCCCCCATTCGTACAAGAAGCACATCTCTATCTCTGGTATCGCTCTGGTCTCACTCTGGTCTCTCTGTCCGGTCTCTCTGTCCGGTCTCTCTCTGGTCTCCCTCTGGTCTCTCTCTGGTCTCTCTCTAGTCTCCCTCTAGTCTCTCTCTGGTCTCTCTCTAGTCTCTCTCTGGTCTCTCTCTGGCGTCTCTCTGATCCCTCTCTTGTCTCTCTCTGATCTCCTTCTGGTCTCCCTCTGGTCTCTCTCTGGCCTCTCTCTGGCCTCTCTCTGGTCTCTCTCTGGTCTTTCTCTGATCCCTCTCTCTCTGGCCTCTCTCTGGCCTCTCTCTGGTCTCTCTCTGGTCTTTCTCTGATCCCTCTCTGGTCTCTCTCTGGTCTCCCTCAAGTCTCTCTGATCTCTCTCTGGTCTCTCACTGGTCTCTCTCTGATCTCTCTCTGATCTCTCTCTGATCTCTCTCTGGTCTCCCTCTGGTCTCCTTCTGGTCTGAGTTATAAGATGCTACTAAACTCAGTCCTGGACACAAAGGAGAGGTCAGTGAGGCCTCTTCAAACTGCCCATTGTCCCGAACCAGAGCCGCCGTGTCCACTGGTGTCAAGCAGAAACACATTCACAGGGTAAGAGAGGGGGAGAGAGGGGGGGAGAGGGGAAGAGAGGGGAAGAGAGAGGGAGAGCGAGGCGGAGAGAGGGGGAGAGAGGTGGAGAGGACACTGGACAAAGGGGAAGTTCTGGTCTCAATCACCAAACAACAATAAAAGTTAAAGTTGAGTAGAGGGGGTGAAACAGCTTATCGTGTTTCTGCTTTACTATCTATCTATCTGTCTATCTGTCTATCTGTCTATCTGTCTATCTGTCTATCTGTCTATCTGTCTATCTATCTATCTATCTATCTGTCTGTCTATCTATCTACAGTATAAATCCTAATATAACAAATTCAGACAGACATTCCAAGTTATTTTCTTTGAATGTTGTGGTCCTTCTCTTCTCTCTTTGGTCTCTCTCTGGTGTCTCTCTCTGGTCTCTCTCTGGTCCCTCTCTGGTCTCTCTCTGGTCTCTCTCTGGTCTCTCTCTGGTCTCTTTCTCTCTGGTCTCTCTCTCTCTCTGGTCTCTCTCTCTGGTCTCTCTCTGGTCTCTCTCTGGTCTCTTTCTCTCTGGTCTCTCTCTCTCTGGTCTCTTTCTCTGGTCTCTCTCTGGTCTCTCTCTCTCTGGTCTCTCTCTGGTCTCCCTCTTGTCTCTCTCTCGTGTCTCTCTCGTGTCTCTCTCTGGTCTCTCTCTGGTCTCTCTCTGGTCTCTCTCTTGTATCTCTCTCGTGTCTCTCTCTTGTATCTCTCTCTGGTCTCTCTCTTGTATCTCTCTCGTGTCTCTCTCTTCTCTCTCTCTCGTGTCTCTCTCTTGTCTCTCTCTCTTGTCTCTCTCTCATGTCTCTCTCTTCAGGTGGATATACTGTAAGTGTATAAAGTGTGTGGTGTTACAGCTGCTTCTTGAAGGACCTCACTTTTTGCAGGATATTTCCGGATCCTAAACGAGGACCAGATTCCAAACAGAGTCCGAAGTTCCTGTTCCCTCAAGAAAAGTAATCAACCAAAGCAACCGTCACACATACTTTACAGTTTTTCTCAGTCGCTTTGGTGCATTTTTCACATCAGACTAAAAGTTCTCAAAACTATTTGTTCAACTTCCACAACATTGGGTCATTGGTGCACATGATCATGGCAGTTTCTCATTCCTCTGAACACATTTCAAATGCTTTTGTTCATGTATCAGTTACTTTCATACAATTCTCAGCGTTTTTTCAACATCATCATTTGCTTCTGTCCTGTCAGTCAAAATGAAACATACTTATCACTTCTGAATAGTCATTCACTATAAAAGTAACTGTCCTCATTTCATCGCTTTGGTCATCACATACAAAATTGTTGAACTAGTTCTCAAAATCATAACTGTCAAGCTAATTTCATACATTCCTTCATCTTTTTTTCCTGTAAATCTTTCTTAAATTGAACAATTTATCCCAGGTGAATTTCAGCTTTCACTCATGAGGTATGCTTTATTGTTCATTTTTGTCACAGTTCTACCATAATGATATTTCTTGTATGTTTGTTCTATGTATATACTGCATATACAGTATACTGTATGTGCCTGCAATTCTACAGCATTGTGCAACAAAAATACAAAGAGCATATGCAGTACACATACATACATATACATACTGTACATACATACATAGATACACACATACACACATACATACATACATACATACAGTACATACATACATAGATACGCACATACACACATACATACAGTGCATACATACATAGATACACACATACATACTGTACATACATACATACATACAGTACATACATACATAGATACACACATACACACATACATACTGTACATACATACATAGATACACACATACATACATACATACACATATACATATATGTTTCAGAATGTCAGTTACGTCTCTAAATACAGTCTTTGTGTAACTTTACTGTAGTTTTTACTGTAAATGGCTGTATAGGTCGTGTATAGAGTGCTCATAGTCGTGCTCAAGTGTCACCGAGATCTGACTTTTTTACCCTGAAAACACAGAGAGAGTAAACTTTCACAATGAAAACATGACTATGTCATTTGACTGTGATGTTCATACTCAATGTTGTTAGGACATATTATTTTGACGACACAGACAGTTTCATTGACGTTTGAACTTGCTTTTGAGGACATAACTTTTCATTTTGAGAAAGTGACGCACTTTTGCAGGTTATCCACGAGGTTCTGCAGTTTGGACTAATTGTTCTGAGAAATGCACCAACAGTTGTGCAAATGTGAAGAACGATGTGAAAAATGCACCAAAGCGACCGAGAAAAACTGTAAGACATATCAATCCAAAATAAGACATCGACTCATTCATTCAACCATAAATCCACACAATAACAACACACATGGTTTACCAACGCCACTGCACACTTCTTGATGATTACTAATGTGTTGCTCCTTGTAAATAGTATGCACTGTTTATTTATATAGCTCATTTTTTCCAGACCAAGGTCACACCCAAAACGCTTTACAATGTTCAGAAACCAGATATTTTTCCATTCTCTCCACCCGGTGATGACAAAAGTGAGACGCCAACAAAACCTCCGACCAAACACCCTCCACTCACTCACTCATTAAATTCAGACCTATACATATTTTAGTGGTAGGAGAAACTGGAGAGAACCTACGCAGACACGGGGAGAACATGCAAACTCCACCCAGAAAGACCCTGTTCCGACCGGGATTCGAACCCAGGAGAACGCTAACCACTCAGCGACCGTGCCCAGAGGAAATAGAGGAAAATGGTTCTTACTTGGTGAACTCAGTGAGGCCCTTGACGAACCAGGCAAAGTTTCGGTACAGAGACATGATGCGGAAGGGGTGGGGGTCCCAGACTTTGGTGTGTTGGATGCAGCTGTAGAGTTTGGTGAAAGCTCCGGTCGGTCTCTCCTCTTTGTAGCCTCCTCTAACCCTCCTCTGACCCCACGTGAGCCCAGAGCGAGGCCACGGCAGGACAGAGCAGAAGAAGAAACACTGGGAATATTGTGATTCTGCAGTAAACGGACAGCACCCGAGACAGAGACACAGAGGCAGAGAGACAGCGACAGAGAGGCAAAGACGCAGAGACACAGAGAGACAGAGACATAGAGACATAGATATACAGAGACATAGAGAGATAGAGAGACAGAGAGAGACAGAGAGACATAGAGAGACACAGAAACAGAGACATAGAGACACAGAGAGACAGACACAGAGACACACAGACACAGGGAAGCAGAGACAGGAGACACAGAGAGAGACAGAGACATAGAGACATAGAGACACAGAGAGACACACACAGAGACACACAAACACAGGGAAACAGAGCGAGGAGACACAAAGATAGAGACACAGAGAGACAGGGATGCAGAGACAGCGTGACAGAGAGACAGGGAAGCAGAGACAGCGTGACAGAGAGACACAGAGAGACTGAGAGACAGAGAGACACAGACACAGAGAGACAGGGACGCAGAGACAGAGAGACACAGAGAGACACAGAGACAGAGAGACACAGAGAGACAGGGACGCAGAGACAGAGAGACACAGAGAGACACAGAGACAGAGAGACACAGAGAGACAGAGAGACACAGACACAGAGAGACACAGAGAGACAGACACAGAGACACACAGACACAGGGAAACAGAGATAGGAGACACAGAGAGAGACAGAGACATAGAGACACAGAGACACAGAAACATAGAGACATAGAGACACAGAGACATAGAGACACAGAGACACAGAGAGACAGACACAGAGACACAGAGACATAGGGAAACAGAGACAGGAGACACAGAGATAGAGACACAGAAAGACAGGGACGCAGAGACAGCGTGACAGAGAGACACAGAGAGACTGAGAGACATAGAGACACAGAGACAGAGATACAGAGAGACGTAGAGAGACAGAGAGACACAGACACAGAGAGACAGGGACCCAGAGACAGAGTGACAGAGAGACACAGAGAGACACAGAGACACAGAGACAGAGAGACACAGAGGGACAGGGACCCAGAGACAGAGTGACAGAGAGACACAGAGACAGGGACGCAGAGACACAGAGACAGAGAGACACAGAGAGACATAGAGACGCAGAGACACAGAGAGACACAGAGACAAAGAGAGACAGAGACACAGAGAGACACAGAGAGACACAGAGACATAGACCCCAATCCATCCCACAGTACTCTCTCTGTTTATATTATTGAAAAGATTGAAAGCTACAGTTATGGAAAAACTTCATAACTCCTCTCTCTCCTCTTCCCCCCCCTTCTCTCCTCCGCTCTCCTCTCCTCTCTCCTGTCTCCCTTTCATGATGGTTATCTTATGCTTCAATATTTAGCCATGGGCAGAAATTGAATTAGTTCTTCTCCATTCATTGTTAGCGGTCGTGGGAAGCCATATTTATAGTCATATAAACTGGTTTTTGCTCTGGGCAGATCTCTGTGCAGTTCAGACAATGGCAGCCCAGGAATTTACTGAAACTGGAGGCACTCTCCATTATGGACTCTCTTCTCCTCTCTCCCTCTCATTTTCCCCTCTCTTCACTTCTCCACTCCCCACCCCTCTCCACTCTTCTCCTCTCCTACTCCCTTCCTCTCTCCCTCTCCTCTTCTCTCCTCTCTTCTCCTTTCCCATATCCTCTCATTTCTCCCTCTGTTTACCTCTCCTCTCTCCTACTTGTCTCGTCTCCTCTCCCCCTCCTCCCTCCCCCTTTCCCCCACTCTTCTCCTCTCCTCTCTCCTCTGATTTCCCCCTTCTCTCCACTCTCGTCTACCCCACTTTTCCCCTCTCCTCTCCCTGTCTCCCTCTCCACCTCCCTCTCCTCTTCCCCTCACCCTCCTCTCCTGTCACCTCCCTCCTCCCCTGTCGCCTCCTTCTCCTCTCTCACCTGTTCCTCTCCCCCCTCCCTCCTCCCCTGTTGCCTCCCTCTCCTCTCACCTGTGCCTCCCCCCTTCCCCCCTGCTCCTCTCCTCCCTGTTCCTCCCCCCTCCCACCCTCCCCTGTCGCCTCTCCCTCTCCTCTCTCACCTGTTCCTCCCCTCCCCCCCCCCCCCCGTCGCCCCTTCTCTCACCTCCTCCCCTGTCGCCTCCCTCTCCTCTCACCTGTTCTCCTCCCCCCCCCCCCCCTCCTCCCTGTCCTCCTCTCCTCCCCCCCCCCCCCCCCTCCCTCCTCCCCTGTCGCCTCCCTCTCCCTCTCTCCCTGTTCCTCCCCCCCCCCCCTCCTTCCCCCTCCCCTCCCTCCTCCCCTGTCGCCTCCCTCTCCTCTCTCACCTGTTCCCTCCCCCTTCCCTCCCCCCTCCCCTCCCCGTCGCCTCCTCTCCTCCACCTGTCGCCTCCCCTCTCGCCTCCTCTCTCATCTGTGCCTCTGTTCTCAGCACAGATCAAAGTGCGCTCAGACGGACCAAGGAAACACCAACAATGTCGGTCCATCTCCCGCTGTAGAATCTCCCTCTGCGCTGTCCGTGCGTAAAGACCAACCACTCCAGCTGCCATCATGGTCAGTACACACACACAAACACACACACACACACACATGCACACACACACACACACACACACACACACACAAACACACACACACACACACGGACACACACACAGACGTGTTGATTTCCATTGTTTTTGATTCTTTACAACAACACATGTCCTTCCGTAGCCTCTTTTTAATCGCGCTCTGCATTGAATCATTTTCGCGCTTTCGTCTCGGATCACGTGCAACCTTTACGCACGTTTTACCCACGTTTTTATATGTCTATTTTTCTATTTCTAGTCTAACGTAGTCCAGACTTCCTGTTCAAAGGTCTGTGCGATGGGACGGAGATAGGCGACTCTGCTTAAGGCTGTAAATTATACTTATATATTGTAGATAATGTAATGTGTGCAAAGGACACGTGTCTATGTGGTCTGTGTGAAGAGAGAAGGCAGGATTATTTGTATAGCACAGTTCATATACAAGGCAAAGGGCTGAACAAAACAAGGCATTAAGGTCATAAATAATCACAGTAAATTAAAAAAGTGAAGATAAAATTGTAGCTAAACTGAATGGGTTTTTATCCTGGATTTAAACATTGTCAGAGAAGAAGCCTGTCTCACATTTTTAGGAAGACTGCTCCATTTTTTAGCTGCATAAATCTGAAACGTTGCCTCCTCATGTTTTGTCCTGACTCTGGGACCAGCAGGAGGCCAGTCCCTGTGCTCCTCAGAGTCCCAGCAGGAGGCCGGTCCCTGTGCTCCTCAGAGCCCCAGCAGGAGGCCGGTCCCTGTGCTCCCGGTCCCTGTGCTCCTCAGAGTCCCAGCAGGAGGCCAGTCCCTTTGCTCCTCAAAGTTCCAGCAGGAGGCCAATCCCTGTGCTCCTCAGAGTCCCAGGAGGAGGCCAGTCCCTGTGCTCCTCAGAGTCCCAGCGGGAGGCCAGTCCCTGTGCTCCTCAGAGTCCCAGCGGGAGGCCAGTCCCTGTGCTCCTCAGAGTCCCAGGAGCCCAGAGACCTGGACTACTGTGATGAGGTCCATCCTTAGTCTGAGGCAAATCCATGCAAATCACATGGAGCCAACTCTCAGGTCAAACAGAAGGAACAATATATTTGTCTGTAAAAGTTAAAGCAAGATTCAATGCAAATTAAAGCTGGGGTACCTCACTTTCTCTTCGTAAATAATAAATATGTTAAAAGTATAATGTTGAGAACAAATTAGACCAAAACAGGCTTCTTAATCGCACCAGAAAACATGATATTTTTTGCATAGATACTAGAGCATGTGAGTCGCTATCTGACTCTTTGGGCTGAGAGCTGCTTTGTGTGAAATAGATGTTATTAAGTTATTATTCTATTTTTATTAAACCTTTGTTTAACCAGGAAAGTCCCATTGAGACTAAGAACCTATTTTTCAAGGCAGTCCTGGACCAGAGGCAGCAAAAGTTACACACAATGACATAAAATTACAGATGATAAAAACAGTTTTGTGTCAATGAGAACGTCTCCATTTGCTCTCAATCTGGACCTAAAAGCATTCAATGAAATACATTTTGTGGTTCAAAAGTTACACACCCCAGCTTTACTCTCACACGGTAACCATAGTAACCATAGCAACATACTGTCACCTTGCTACCAGTTAGCATTAGCATTCCAACAAATTTTTTTCTCCTGTATTTAAAGTCAGCAGTTTTCTCACTTATTAATAGTGAGTAAAGGTAAATTTGAGAGATTTTAAACTTGCTTCTTCTTTTGCTAAGTTTTTATTATATTATTTTTCATTATTTTTTGTGCCGTGTGCTCCTCTGTCCTACTCTGTAACCGGTAATGCAACACTGACATTTCCTCACTGTGGGGCCAACAAAGAATCTGTTAATCCTAATCTTTATCCTCCCTGGACCTCACCTTTGGTCTCTCTCGCTGCTTGATTATTGAGACATTGTTGACATTATTTATGGCTGGATTTGTAAAAGATAAAAGTGTGTGTCTCTGAGCCGGGCGTGTGTGTGTTTGAACAGGGCTGAGCTGGAATGTCTGCGCCGTTTCTTCATTTCTAAAGTCACTGAGACCTTTGTTTTTACGTCGACTTTTACTCAAATCTGAAGTGGGACATTGATAGTAAATGTACAGGTGCATGTGTGTGTATATATGTAGGATAATGTAGTGCAGGGGTCTCCAACCTGTAGTTTGGGAGCCACCAGTAGCTCCCCAAAGTATTCAGGAATTTAACACATGCGATTTCAATTTTAAAACATTTCAAATCTACATAAATGTTTACTTTACATGCACGAATGTGAGGATTAACATAGGCCATGCGCCGCAAGCTAAACAAAGCCTATACAGTAAATACATTTTAGTTCCAAGAATCAGGGTTTTACTTCCAAGTGGTATCGTCTAGTAGTAGTTCAATCTGGAGAGACCAAGACAGACACATTAATGCATTTAGAAAGATTTATTTGTTTGGCGCATTGACCCCGACAGTGACACTTGCAGAGGGGAGATCCTCTGGTGCTGAAGATGGTCTCAGATCCCCCGGGGTCAAGCACTGGTGGTGGCTAGAAGCATGGTGTGAATGGGGCGCAGGCGGAGCAGGAGCCAGAGCAGGAACCAGAGCAGGAGCCAGAGCAGGAGCCAGAGCAGGAGCCAGAGCAGGAGCCAGGGCAGGAGCCAGAGCAGGTGCCAGAGCAGGAGCCAGGTTAGGAACGAGAGCATAAGCCAGAGCAGGAGCCAGAGCAGGAGCCAGAGCAGGAGCCAGGGCAGGAGCCAGAGCAGGTGCCAGAGCAGGAGCCAGGTTAGGAGCGAGAGCATAAGCCAGAGCAGGAGCCAGGTTAGGAGCGAGAGCATAAGCCAGAGCAGGAGCCAGAGCAGGAGCCAGAGCAGGAGCCAGAGCAGGAGCCAGAGCACGAGCCAGAGCACGAGCCAGGGCAGGAGCCAGGAGGAGCTCGAGGAGGTGCTGGGGGGGCGGTGGTTGTCAAGAGCTTTGAGGAGTTTTGAGGCGCTGGTTCGTAGGAAGTGGCTGGTTTTAAACTGCCCGCTTTGCTGTCAATAGGTTGGCAGGGAGCTGGCCCTATTGGCTGCAGCTCGAGAGGCTGGCCCTGGATGGGGTGAGAGCTGCAGCATGAGGTCTTCCCAGTCTGAAGCTTAAGCTTCATAATAGTTCTAAATATCTCGGACATTTTAGCACCAAGTACCAAGTTTGAGGTGCTATATCCCCAAAAATATTCACCCAATCAATACAAATACTTAGGCCCTAATAGATGTCGTCCCAAATATTAAGCCTGAGAATATTGGCTCAAAAGTCACATAGTTCTAACCGGTATCTAAACCCACACTGCAAAACGTAAAAAAAATGGTTAAAATTTGGCTAAATGTGTCTTAATTTGAGCACGTTCTAACTAAGCCTTAAGATAAAAACAAATTAAGATTATAAACAGTTTTTTGCAGAGCGGGGCTTTCTTACTTTTTGATCCTCATAAATTCTTGAATTTTTCTGAATGTTTTCTGTGTGTCCCAGATGCGCTTCCTGCTGCTGTTCAGCCGCCAGGGCAAGCTCCGTCTGCAGAAGTGGTTCACTCCCGTCACGGAGCGAGAGAAGAAGAAAGTGATCCGAGACATGATGCTGATGGTTCTGACCCGACCCCCCAAGATGTGCAACTTCCTGCAGTGGAGGGACCTGAAGATCGTGTACAAGAGGTGACCCTTCTTTATCTGAACATTTTACTGTCTGTTTTTGAACAAGAAGAGACCCTTTATTTGTCCCACAGTGAGGAAATTTCAGTATTGCATCAACAGTTAAAGAACAGTATGAATACACTAAAAAAATGGATGGATGGAAAAAGCATGTATAAAATCTCCAGCTTTAGCATAATAAAGAAGCATGTATACGCTCCCATCTCTGTGTGGAGTGAGAGACAAATGTAATAACAATTGTATAGTTCTTTGTGTGAAAGGCGCTATATAAATAAAGATGACTCCTTACTGTCCAAACGCAGGTATGCCAGTCTGTTCTTCTGCGCTGGTCTGGAGGACCAGGACAACGAGCTGCTGATGCTGGAGATCCTGCACAGATACGTGGAGCTTCTGGATAAATACTTTGGAAATGTGAGAAACAAATATTTAAAAAATCACAAAAAAGTGAGGAAAAAAATCTGAAAAAATCACAATCTAAAATCATCAAAATCACAAAAAACACAGAAAATCACAATCAAAAACACAGAAAATCACAATCAAAATCACAAAAAACACAGAAAATCAAAAGTCACAAAAAAATACAAAATCACAAAAATATCACAGTCTAAAATCACAAAAAAGACACAAATCACAAAAAATAAATAAAAAAAATAAAATAAAAAATAAAATCATAAAATCACATAATTCAAAAATCACAAAAATTCAAAACACAATAAAAAATAAAATAAAAACAATGACACATACACATTTGTGTTTCCGTCTTATATCTCCACCATCCAGTGTGGGTGAGATACTTTGAGTTAGTTACACATACTCATAAATAGTAACATCTTACACTATGTTACAGCCTCATGAAAGTACTGCAGGTTCTTTGGGCCTGGTGGAAACTGTAGTCCCAGTTGTAATGTTGTGTTTTGCGTGTGAGGTCTGTGAGCTGGACATCATATTCAACTTTGAGAAGGCCTACTTCATCCTGGATGAGTTCCTGATGGGCGGCGAGGTGCTGGAGACGTCCAGGGCAGCGGTGGGCGGGTGTCTGGAGGAGGCCGACACGTTACAGGAGGTCACTATACGTCAAAACCTCTTTATCTATAACTATTTACCTATAACTTGTTTACTATACATCTTGGTGTCAGTTCAATTCAGTTTATTACAAATACAAAATAAAATCACGTAACATTCATTTATTCACATACTTCCATTCGTCACATTAGGCACAACCAGTGATAATGAATGGATTATGATCAGTCTCTGATGTAGTATATGTGGTGTTCCGGAGGGTGTGGTGGATTTAATTTAACTGGATCCACATTAAACTAAAATAAAGGACGTAAGTCCGTTGTGATTACACAAAGGCTGATACAGAAGTTACACAAAGAGGTACATTTATGACATGATTCTCGTCACTTTTACATGATGTATGATGTATGATTTTATATTTGTTTTTATCTTTAATCTTTTTAATGCGCTATGATTATTTATGATTATTTATGATTGTAATCCCTTGTGTGATTTTAATGTTTTACGGTTTTTAACTACTTGTGTGATTTTATATATCTTGTGCTCTTAATCTGTCTCTTTATGTTTACTTAAATTTTAATGTTTGATGATTTATGCATGATGTTATATGGGTTGTGAGGCGCTTTGCGTTGCCTTGTGTAGGAAAGGCGCTCTACAAATAAATGTTGATTGATTGATCGTTGATTGATGATTGTTGTGCTATCCGATGGTTTCTCTGGGACAGCACAAATTGGAAGGGTAAGGCAAGGCGGCGACAGTGCACCGTATGGCTCCATGGCATCTATCTAAAAGTACACGTATGTAAATATAACGAATCACAAATTGTTCTAAAACCTATTAAGTTCTGTTACGGCCCTGGGTTAGCGCGGTAGCCGCTCACACACATGAGCTGGGTTGACAGCCAGCACAGTTGACAGATTTTTGTGTGGCTGCGAACCACACACACTGTACGACCACCGTGTGTGGGGTCTCTCAGGTTAGGGAAATCGGCCGACAATTTTAAAATCGTCTCGTGTGAACCAGGCTTAAGATCAGGAATATTATTTTATTTTATTATCATCATTATTTTATTTGTAATTCTAGCGTCTAAAAGTCTCTTCTCTTGGCCAACGTCATGCATGTGTTTGGGAGTATTGTCACCACTTCTAGATTCCTTTTGTTTTGTGTGGATTGGCCCAAAGATCTCAGAGAGATTAGCTCTAAACTTAGACTAGAATCGGACTTCTGACACTTATACCACGGTTACCACAGTTACCATAGTTACCATAGTTACCATAGTTACCATAGTCACAAGGACATATTTTTAGCTGCCCTCCATCACTCTGTGGAAGGCGCTGATGTCACATGAACGCCTCTCTTTGTGTTAATACTAATAATATCACATTTCATTTTGATTTCAGACTATGGAGGAATACATGAGCCGCCCTGCCTACTGAGCCGGATGGGACTTGAACCTATGGGGAAGATTTTTTACCTTTTTATGTCTGTTCTAATTGATGGTCCCGTGCCTTTTGGTTGAAAATCTCAGGGAACATCAGATAAATGAATTTCTACAAATGGATTCCTCTTTTGTTTACTGTAACCACAACATCTTCGTCTGGACACTGTCTTTGGTGTGAGAACGACCCCTGAGAGTCACTGCTTGACTCTGATTGGCCGAGAGAGGGCAGTCCTCTCTTTTTACACTTTTATGTCTGAAAAAACAGAATCACTACAACTATTATTTTACTTCCACTACTACTAATACTGCTGCTACAACTGCTACTCCTACTACTACCACTACTAAAACTACTACTACTAATACATCTACTACTTCTAATATTGCTAATACTGCTGCTGCTACTACTACTACTAAAACTACTATACGTTTTAATACTACTTATAAAACTACTACTGCTACTACTACTATTACTACAACTACTCCTACTTCTTCTACGATTACTAATACTCCTGCTTGTGCTACAACTACTACCACTACTACTAAAACTACATGCTTTAATACTTCTAAAACTACTACAACTTCAACCACTACTACAACTACTTCTTCTAATACTTCTTCTATCTAAACTACTACTAATATAACTAGTACTACTACTACTATTACTACTACTATAACTGGTACTACTACTGCTACTTCTATTAAAACTACTACTACTATAAAGGCTTCTAATACTACTACTACTACAACTACTAGTACTACTTCTACAACTAATACTAGAACTACTGCTAGTTTTAATATAACTACTACCACTACTACCTCTATTACTACTTCTACTTCTACTTTTACTACACACAATAAAGAAGCAAAAGGCAGTAGGGAAAAATAAAGTCAATGCTTTATTGGGAGGACAGTAAAAACGAGCAGAGACAGGTACATGGTCTAAACACTGCGGTGGCGGCGGCTGGTGAGGTCCTGTACAGACCACGCTGACAATCGGTCAAAAATATCTCAAACTAAACCAAGATTATAACTCAACAAGCTAACACAGTGGTTCTCAAACTGTCGGACCAGGTCTAGACCGGGTTTAGACCTGGATATGTGGCTGCACGTCTGGGTTATGAAGCTAATCGTAAACATGGGTTAGCTTAGTTTGCTTAAATATCTTGTTTTTCTCTGGGCGACAGTAGCTCAGTTGGTAGAGCATTGGCCTTTGGGCCTGGAGGTCGTGAGTTCGATTCCCACCATGGGACCTACTCCAACTGCTCCCGCGGGGGCCAGCCGCGTATAGTGGGCATATCGTGCCAGCCAATCAGAATGAGCCTGTCAGCCACGTGCCTTTGTGATGAAGTCCAACCAATCAAAATGCAGGGATATTTACAGACGCGAGTTCGAAACCCGTCTCACCCCAAATAAATCAAACTTATTTAAAAGTTTAAAGTTAATAACTGGGTCTCATTTTGACCTTAATAACAGCCACATTACCTTTAAAGTACATAAATGTAACTATTAGAGAGCTTCTTTGAAATGTAAAACTTGAAATGATCAGTGAATTGACAGTAATATTAACAGCAATGTCATGAAACCTTTTGACCTGCACAAAGTGTGAGTGTGTGAAGATCACAGAGGCTTATCCCCAAAGGCCTCACACACAGGTTAAAGGTCACACCTCCTCAGGATGGGAAAAGTGTTGATCAAGGGATTTAGACAAACACACCTGGAATATCCCAGAGGTGAGAACTCTGCAGGGGGTGCTTTGAACAAGTTCAACAATAGCTGCTTTGATCCCACTGACACTGAACTGAAACTCCATTTTCTATACAGATTGTTTTGTCAAATACTACTGTTGTTTGCCCTGAAATATGATCAATAAAAAGAAAGACTTCAATAATGTATGACATTATAATATATTTATTGTGAACAGATGAAAAAATAGATATTTAAACATTTAAGAAATACACTTAGAAGAAAAACAACAACATGCTATCTTTATCTTCTTAAACTAGTATTTGTGTGATGAGCCCTGTGACTGTGACGGCTGAGAGCTGACTATACAGAACTGTAGATGCAGACTTTACAAATGAAATGATATAATTAGATATAATCAATATTAAGTATATATTTACATAATAATTAGAATATTTATAAAAATGTATGAACAGACAGGTGTAATATATACATCTCATAAATAAAAGGAGGTCATAAAAAGGAGACTGCTGGAACATCTGCGTCTCCATCCCCTGGTCCTTGTACAGGGAGAATACTTTGGCAGGGCAGTAGATGTATTTTCCTGACAGACCAGGGAATTGTGTATAAACATGAGGACTGTTTGGTCCCTGCTTCAGCTGCAGTTTGCAGAACCCGCACTTTCTCCCAGTGGCAGGAGACTCATCTCTCTTCCTTTTCTTCTCCTGCAGCTCATTCACTCTCTGCTGCGTGGCCTCCAGCTCTCTCTGGCAGAACTCAGTGTCCATAAAGTCTCGGAATGGCATCCTGGAGTTGGTCAAACCCTCTGTGCGATAGGTGTTATAGAACTTGGTGGAGCAATAGAAATACCTGGTAGGACCCGGCTGGTAAAACTCGTGGATGGAGCTGCCATCGCCCTCATATTTGGATTTTGGCTGGCCACAAGACAGGCATTTCTTTGTGTGGGGTTTATTTGCTGGAGGCTGCTGCTGCTTTTCCAAGATCCGCTGCACAACCTTCTCTATGGCCTCCTCAGACAGCGGTGACATGAGTCTGAGCAGGAGGAGGGGGGTTCACTGCTGCAGGGGGCATGGTGACAGCAGGCGCTGTGCTGGTCTTACTGCCTGCTGTGAGCGATGTACTCCCCCAGCACTTCAGCCTTGTCTGAGGCATCACCTCCTCTCACTCGCACCAGAGTGAGGGCGTTCTCCCTCACCACCTCCTCCCTCAGAGGAGCACCGCACTCCGTCATGGACGGGTCGTCCCTGATCTTCCTCGCCTCCTCTGAAGGGTCCTGCAGCAGGAATCCACGTGGGCCCTTGCGAAAAATCACAGTGACGCGGCCAGGAAAGAATGAAAATGTCTTCATATTGTCTGCAACAACAAAAAAAGATCATAAAATATCTAGCTATAGCATGATAGAGAAGTATGTATAATGTATATATCTTTAGCATAATAAAGAAGCATGAATCCTGTATAATCTAGAGAAGACATATACAGTTGTATGTTTACATCTGGACATTAGCAGCATGAGGCTCTGGGATACAGTAAGTACAGTTATAGAAGGAAAATATGAACTGGTAAAACACTAATACATTGTCGTAAACTAACTGCATATAATTCATTTTCAACTCAATGTGTTGCTGAACTATAGAAATGTGAAATACATATAGACAGTACACACATCAACAATAAGCATACTGTACACTACAGTACAACAGATGGAGCAAACTGTATTATATTTATGAGACAATAGTAAGTGAACAGAGAAAGAGCACAGTGACAACACTGAGCCAAACTCACAGCAGCACTTATACACAGCCTGTTACAACAACTATGTGCATTAAACTTATTAAAAGTGCATTTGATCTGTATACAGTGTGCTTTAGCTCACGTGTGTACATCCCAAAACACCGCGTTAACTAGCGCTGGAAATAAACAAACTGCATTACTGTATACAGTAGAATACAGTGAATACAGATTGTTTGACAACGCAGAGAACGTGTTTTCTTTACAATATTGATCCAAACAGAGAGATCTACGAGCAGCAGCAGCAACAAACATATGACACGGAGGTAAACAATCATAAACAGCGCACTACACACTCGAGATTTAAACTACAGACGTGTGTGAACGATCTACGCACAATATGAGAGATTTATGGAGTGAAACATAAAGAACGAGCACAAAAACATTGTGTTTATCAGAGGAGACTTACCGAGTGCGTGTGTAATCCACAATGAATGGAGAAAGCCGGCTCTCTCCGTTTTAGAGCAGCGCGCACACGTCACTTCCGCTGGCACCGGAAGTGACGCATGAAACTTTTACCCATTGACTACCGTTGAAAATGGTTTAGCTCTGTTTAGGTAAACTATTCTCGGCAGCCGCACTGATGACTGCTGTCGTTGTGTCCTTGGGCAAGACACTTAACCCCACTTTGCCTGAAGCCCCCACTGAAAGATCAAGGCTGTTTCACAATTGACGGAGCAGCCATCTTCCTGTGGACTCACCCCCTGCAGAAGATCAGCGAGGGACTGGTGCTATGAGTATGGGTGGCAGCTCTCATTGCCACCCCCCCGACCCAGAAATGGACAAAGGGGTTGAAAATGAAATGAAATGAAATCTTGTTTTTCTCTCTCTTCAAATCTGTCTCATTTATTTCAAAACCTACTGCTATATTCTTGCAAATGTTTTTTGGGAAGATAATATTTCACTTTCAAGCAAAGGTTAAAACTAGCTTTTTGTTTTAAGGGTAATGCTAATTAGCCACAGGTACCCCTTTTCCGTTACCATAGCGACACACTGTTTACCTTTCAAATTCTTTCTTTTAAATTAAATAACATTAAATTTAGTAGTAGTATTTCTGGCCCTGGTTTGAACTATAGACCAGGCATGTCAAAGTCAAATACATCAGAGGGCCAAAAAAACAAATTTGCTGCGAGCCGAGGGCCGGACTGGTTCAATGTTTATTAACTCATTGCCTGCCAGCCTATTTCAGAACAGGTACTCTCATATTGCCAGCAGTTTCTGATGATTTTTATAGATTTTTCAAGACCCACAGAATATTGTGTACTATGACTATCTGAAATCCGAAACCAGATTCTGAAAGAATAGACTGTCTACTTTCATCAGCAAAAAGAATTTTGTTTCTAGCTTGTAATCCCCAGTTGAGTAGAGGGAAGTTTTACTGAAATCACCAAAAAGCTGAGAAAAAAGAGGCACAACAAGTGCATCTAGCTGTTTTCAAACCATTCAGAGAGCGCTGCTGCCACCTGCTGGCTCGATTCAATATGCTCTCAAGCTTATCCCCAAACATATTAGATATAATAGACATCTGGGAACATGAAAATAACGGAAAACGTAATTGACATGCCATGTAAAATTCATTCGCGGGCCGGATTTGGCCCGCGGGCCTTGACTTTGACACATGTGCTATAGACAGTATATATATATATATATATATATATATATATATATATATATATATATATATATATATATATATATATATATATATATATATATATATGTATGTATATGTATACACACACACATTGGCACCAGCTAGCTAATGTTCAAATTTACTTCTTAATAGGCAAACACTATGCTAACAGCAACGGTAATTTATTCCCATCTAAGGCCTGTATTTCTCTTGTTTTAATAGAACAAAACAATGCATGATAAATGGAGATTCCAAATAATTGAATTGAATTGAGAAGTAATTTAAATAATAATGCATCGGTTTTATATAGCGCTTTTTTGGACACTCAAAGACGCTTTACATGTCATTATTCTTTCACTCTATACACGGTGGTGATAAACTACTACTGTAGCCACAGCTGCCCTGGGGCACACTGACAGAAGCGAGGCAACCAGTCTGTGCCATCGGCCCCTCCGACCACCACCAACCATTCACACACACAAGACTCATTCTAGGCAATGGGGGTAAAGTGTCTTGCCTAAGGACACGACGGCAGTTTGTCACTTTACAGCAGCCGCCCCACTGTGGCTGGTGTTCCCAGAGGTTGAGTGTCTTGCCAAGGACACAACGACAGCAGACAGTGGGAGTTGATAGTGAAAGTCGGGCTCGAACCCACGACCCTCTGGCTCAAGGCTCTACCAACTGAGCTACTGTCGCCCTAACTAATCTTACCATGGTTTAGAGTGAATTTTGTTTTGATATGTCAAGGTTTAAACAAACATAACCCAGTCAATGAGATTCAGTCCAAAATTAATTTCAACTGAATTAATTTGAATGAACGCAAAATGCCACATTGAAATCTATATGCAAAGGCCACAAATGTATTTTATAACAGAAAAATCGTATCTCATCCATTTTTCTGTAGAGTAAAGCCCTGTTTCCACCAGCCCTACTTAGCACTACTCCACCTGACTTTACTTAATTGGGAGTGCTACCACCGGCCTTGTTTTGCTGGAACCAGGTCCTTCTTCAGTCCAGGTTCCAAACAGACCAAGCTGCTACTGTTGTGGGTAGGTTGCAAGGATTGTTTATCTCCTATGTTCAGAGAGAGTCAGCCTTTTCCATTTTCACAGCTGGGAATTATCATTTTGGGGCGAGATTCCAACCCTTTCTTTCCAGGACAGTATTCCAATTACCTGTTGCCTTGAATCTAGAATCTGAATCTGCTTTAGATAAGACTTGGTTTAGCTTTTCACTGATTGTTGTTCGACGTCGCTAGCTTTAAGACATTTTTACCTGAAGACCTGGTTTAGAGTAAGGCTATGCTAACTTAGACGAGCCTATAGTAGGGCCAGACAACTCCATGATTGTAGTATTTATCTGGGACATCTAAAACTCCTAGAGGTCTGTGTTTTCTGCCAGTTTGACCCAACTAAACAGTATAGATGTGGATATATTTACAGTTTTTTCACCAAACTAGTAAACAGTTTGCTTGAATGTTATGACGGACACGACAAGGAAGTGGACAGAAGTCTTTCAGCTTTCAAACAGATTGAAGTGAGAGAGCGATTGCACAATAATGTATCATATTCTCTACACTTCGTTGACTCTGCCAGACTCTCTCCTCTTTCATACTCTCTTTGTCTTGTCATATTCAATCATATTGTTCAACAGTTTGAGAATCACTGCTCATAACTAGTTCGAATACGTGTCTCATTCACCGTATACATCTATACATCTATGTACACTCTATAACAGCACGGTTACTCTGTAATTTTGGCGTCCCGTTCGTCAGGAGTTACTACAAAACTCAGCAACTTCATGACTTCTTCGTTGTCGAAATCCTCCACTTCTCTCTTCTCAACGTCGGACTGACTTTTTGCGTTTCTGTCCGAATCCAGTTGATCAAAATAGTCTTGAACGGCTCTTTCGAAAGACCCCGCCTGATCATCTGTTGTCTCCTCCCTCTTTTGGGTCACCCTACTTTTGTGCGTGGGGTATTTGGACAACATCCGTGCCGCCAAAAACGTCGCCAGTTCGTTTTCTGTGTCGTCGTAATCGTCTTTTTGCTTGGTGGGGAATCTTTGCTTCTGCTGCAGCTGCTGCTTAATGCTAGCATCTCTCCAGACGGGGCGACTGTATATGGTTTTGTACTGCTTTCTGAATGGACTTTGCATGCGGTTTTCATCTCCGGACAAGCCTAAAATCTTTAGAATCCTCTCCGTTCTCATTTCGTCTGGTGTCTTTTGCCGCAGCGGGAGCCTCCTGCTTAAATACTCAGGTTTCTTGTACGTCTTTTTTGCATGGACGGGCGTGTTGACCTTCATCCTGGCGATTTCCCCAGATCTCAACATGTCGATGAGATCTTCCGGTGGGATTTGGTACTTTTGCGAAACCTGTAAAAGCCTGTAGATCGTTTTGGGGTCGATGTTGTTTCGTAACACGGCTGTGCTTCTTTCCTTTCGCTCTTGCCCCTCCTCCTCTTCCTCAATCTCTCTTTTCTTCTGCTCCTCCTCCTCTGTCTGCTCCAGCACTTTCAGCAGATAGAAGTCGGCTAAGTTCGCCATTTTGCCTTCGTTGTCGTCCGTGGATCTTTTAGCGACAAGGCTATCGCCGTTTTCCTGATCTCCGTCTTCGAGGTAATCCAACGCACGTTCAAAATCATGCCTCTCGTCTTGGTCTTCCTCCCAATCTCTTTCATCGTACGCCGCATCTCTGGCGTTGAAAAAACTCTCATCTTCCGCGCTATTTTCTCGTTTTGTGTTGAAATTGAAGTTGATTTTCCCGAGCTCGTCAAATACCGACTGTAGCGTGGCCAGGTTTTGAGGCGTGTACTTCTCCTCCACGTTTTCGTTGGTGCGTTTGAAATCGTCCGTCCGATCGGAGTCCTCGGCCGCCTCCTCCGCGTCCTCCTTCTCGTCATCTTCAAACAGCAAAGGCATCTCTCTATGCGGCGCGATCGCTTCCTGGGCTTTCGGTTTTGGATTTGGCTCCGTATGCTGGAGAGTGCTCAAAACGGCCTGTAGCAACTCCTCGCTCTTATCCTCCAATCGCTGTTGTGGGCTCTCCTGGTTGGACGTAGCTCTCTCTCTCTCCCGGTGGTCGTCTTGCGGTTGAACGTTTTGCCGGAGGCTCTGGATGTATTCGAGAGCCTTTAGCATGTCCTCGTTGGGGGATGGCACGTTTGATTCTGCACCTCGAAGACGGTGGTCCCTCAGAGTAGAGGCCTCAAGGCCGGGAGGAAACGCAAAGAAAAGCAAGAGAAAAACCAAGTAGGACGGGCAAAGTGGAGAGGATTTGGACATGGAGGAGGACGGTGGCATGGTGACGTCTGCGGGGGAAAAGACACACTTGTTAGCAGGGTTCCTACAGGCTCTTCAAAAGTCTTGGAAGAACTAAGATTGAGAACTGATGATATTGCCAGATTCACTGTCCACACAAGGCAAGGCAAGTTTATTTGTATAGCACAAATCATACACAAGGCATCTCAAAGTGCTGAACAAAGTAAGATAGCATTAAAATCATAAATAATCACAGAACATTAAAAAGAAAGATAATAAAAATATAAAATCCCTCAGTTGTATGCACAGCTAAACAGAACTGTTTTAAACAATGGTTTTAGACAGGCCAGAGGAGGCCTATCTCACATCTTCAGGAAGATTGTTCCAGATTTTAGCAGCATGAATCTGCAAAGCAGCCTCCCCATGTTTAGTTCTGACTCTGGGCACTAACAGGAGTCCAGTCCCTGTGCTCCTCAGAGTCCGGGCTGGTTCATATGGGACTAACATGTCACTAATATATTTTGGTGCGAGGCCATGGAGAGACTTGTACACAAGCAGAGCTGTTTTAAAGTCTATTCTCTGAGCCACAGGAAGCCAGTGCAGAGACCTGAGAACTGGACTAATGTGGTCGTACTTCCTGGTTCTAGTCAGGACTTGAGCTGCTGCATTTTGAATGTACTGCAGCTGTTTTACAGCCTGTTTGGAGAGACCTGTGAGCAGGCCATTACAGTAGTCTAACCTACTGGAGACAAATGCATGGATAAGAATCTCCAAGTCTGCTTTAGACACTATGTTTTTGATCCTGGCAATGTTTTTTAGGTGGTAAAAAGCTGCTGATGTTACTGATTTGATTAAATTAAATCAAATCTGAGTCCAGTATTACCCCTAGATTTCTGGCCTTGTTTGAAAGTTTTTTGGGAGAGAGACTGTAGGTGACAGATGACGCTCTCTCTTTGTTTCTGAGGACCAAAGATAATCTTTTCAGTTTTAGCTGAAGGAAGTTGTTTTGCATCCACTCACTGATCTGTTGGATACAATGAAGGAGTGAGTTCACTGGTCCATGTTCTCCTGCAGTCAGTGAGACATAGATCTGAGTGTTGTCTGCAAAGTTGTGATAGGACACTTTGTTTCTGCGTATTAACTGACCTAACGGCAGCATGTAGAGATTGAACAGAAGAGGTCCCAGGATCGACCCCTGTGGGACTCCACAGGTCAGGGCCATATGATCTGAGACACAGTTTCCAATCTCCACAAAGTACTTCCTGTCTTTAAGGTAAGACCTAAACCAACTTAGGGCGGTGCCAGCGACGCTAACCCAGTCCTCTAGTCTCTGTAAGAGGATCTCATGGTCGACGGTGTCAAAGGCAGCACTCAGATCTAACAGGATTAGGATTGAGACTTTGCCTGTGTCAGTGTTCAGGAGGATGTCGTTTGTAACCTTAACGAGAGCAGTCTCAGTGCTGTGGTGGGGTCTAAAGCCGGACTGAAACATGTCAAATGAGTTGTTGATTATAAGAAATCTATTTAGCTGTAGGTAGACAACCTTTTCAAGGACTTTCCCCATAAATGGCAGATTTGAGATGGGACGATTGTTGTTCAGTACCGTGCCATCCAGACTGCTCTTTTTTAGCAGGGGCCTGATGACTGCAGTTTTCAGGGCCTTTGGGAATATTGTTGACTATCTGTGTGAGTGAAGGTAACAGACTACACAAATACTTTCTTCCAATACGGTTTCAAAACAGCCAGTTATGAACTAATTTTGTAAAGGGTTATTCACAACAGCAGTTGTCTCAGAGGGCCTCAGTTAGATTCTTCAAAGGCAGATCACAGAATAAAACAGTTTGACCACAGAGGAAATGCAATAACACAGAGCAGCCTAAGGTTCATAGGGATCGGGTTGACCAAGGTCCGTAAATGTTGATAAATGTCTCAAATAATCAATGTCCTTAGACCCTGCTTTATCTGCAAGGAACAACTGAAAAATCAGAAACCGGCGTCTGAAATCATCTTTGTTTGGGCCTTAAAATTTTGCATTTGCCGAGTTAAATTGTAGACCTGATTTTAGTCCTGAGGTAGTCACTTTTTACATTGATTCAAACCAATCTATATCTATCCATATATTAATTTATCTATCAATCTAATAATCTAATCAATCTATATCAATCTATCTGTCTATCTATCAAATTATCTAATCTATTAATGTATCTATTTATTAATCTATTCTAATAAATCTATAACTATATTATTATCTAATCCATCCATCTATTAATGTATCGATCTATCTATGAATCTAATCAATCTTCATCTATCTATCCGCTTCATATGGGAAGCGCAATTAAATGATGAATGATAAAAAATTATTATTACTTTTTTTCCTAAAATCCAACAGGACTGACTGCCACAGGAGATTATTAATCCAGATATTTTAGTTTTTGCTTCTTTCTTGTTCATTGTTTTGAGCAAAGTGGTGTCTTCTCACTCTCCTGGGGTTGAAATCCGACACCGCGGCCGTCTTTCTACAGCTGTAATAATACTAAAGGTTTCTCCCCATCACGTCTGCAGAGGATACTAGTATTATTCCTGAGGCAAAGCACAGCCCTGTTTCCTCAAGAATGTTAGTGACTATTTCTCTGAGAACAGATCTTTGTCCCACAATACAATGGGAAATTTCTGATTTGCAGTGCACGGCATAAAACAGTGGGGATGTAGGAAGAGCTCAACGCAAAATAGTTGTATTCAAAAATTAAAATATGGTTGTTTGAGTTCATGAATAAATCAGATAACATATAACAAAACATTTTTCTCCTATAAATATAGTATATCCATCTATCTATTACAGCTGTCTCTCTCTCTCTCTCTTGCTCTCTCTCTTTTTTCTCTTGGTCTCTCTCTCTCTCTCTCTCTCTCTCTCTCTCTCTCTCTCTCTCTCTCTCTCTCTCTCTCTCTCTCTCTCTCTCTCGCTCTCTCTCTGTGTATTACTCCAGCTGGACTCGAACAGGTCTGGCATGGTCTGGCTCGGCCCGGCTCGGCCCGGGTGTCACTGTTCCTTGCAGCAACATAAATCTCATTAGTGCGCACTGGACACAAATTGCTCCTCGCGGTGACTCACCCGGGCCGTAGTTGTCAAGGAAACGACATGAGAGGGAAAAAAAATGGGAGGGGGGGATGGGTTCGCGAGGGGGGGGGGGTTCGCGAGGGGGGTGCTGGGGGGGTCGAAATGAAACTGCGTGTACTGGTTTTATGTTGTGTATTTTTCATATTTTCCATCCAATATACGCACCAATCATCTCCCCGTGCGCGCAAGAAACGTGAAAAATCAAAACAGCAGTGACGTACGAAGACGTTTTTTTCTCAAAAAGACTAGAAATAGACGTCTGTATGTAATCTGACCATTTTCTAGATGACAAAAATAGCTTGTTGGACAACTCGATCACGTGTTCACACCTATTTGAAAGAAAAGCCAGTTTTTTCCTCGAATTTAATGTTACCGCGCGCTGGTCTGTGACATATTCAATCTTTGAGAGACGATTTCTAATCAAAAAACGTCAAATTATGAGAGAGAAACAGTCGCAATTATTTAAGACAGCAGCAGATTATATAAAGTACATACAACATGGAAAAAACGAAATAAAATGTTGTTTTTAGAGACGATTTCTAAGCAAAGAAACGTCATATTGGAATAAAGAAATAGTCGCACTTACAAGCCATTTTATTAAGTACAATACACGGGGGAAAGCGAATTCAAATATCGTTTTAAGTAAACATAACATGGGAAACAAGCTCGTAAATTGTTATTTTACGAGCCAGTTTATGTGCATAGTGAAGCCGGATTGGAATCTAGAACAAAGCCACTCTGTTCTTCCCTCCACATCTGTATCGCAGAAGCATCAGGTTGCAAGAAAAAACAACAGAAAACATACGAAAAAGCGCATGTACGAACTGTGCATGCGTCACTACACGACTTCTCCCGCTTGATGTAGTGTTATGGCTTTGTGGGTGTAATAAATGTGTTAAAGTCTCACCTTGTGGCCGTGTTCTGAGTTTGGTGAGAGCTCCGCGAGGTGGCTCTGGCTCTGCGCTCATGTCTCTGAAGCTGGAGACGAGGATCCAGGACCACGGACAGCTCCAGGGGCTATAAGAGGCACCACGTGACCAGTGCGTCAGAGGGAGATACGAGCGTCACCAGCAACAGGAATGCCACTGACACACGCACACGCACGGACACGGATGGACACACGCGCGTACACGTGCACAGGCACACAGGAGAGACAGAGGGGGGGAGAGAGACCAAAAAGGCAGAGAGAAACCGGAGAGACAGAGGCAGAAATAATGAGAGAAGGGACAGAGAGGAGAGAGAGAGAGAGAGAGAGAGGGGGGGGGGGGAGACCAAAAAATAGACAGAAAGACAGAGCGAGAGAAGAGATGGGGAGAGAGACCTAAGAGACAGAGACCGAAAGAGAGAATAGCGAGAGAGAGAGAGAGAGACACACACACACACACACAGATAGTGACTGAGAGATAGAGAGAGACAGAGAGAGAGAGAGGGAGGGAGAAGGAGATACCAAAGAGAGAGAGACAAAAAGACAAAGAGAGCGACCAGCAAAAGAGACAGAGAGGGAGAGACAAAGAGAGAAAGAGAAAAAGAGAAAGACAGAGAGATAGAAGGAGGTAGTTATGTGAATTTAGATGCAGACAGAAAGAGAGAGAGAGGGTGGGGGTATTTTGTGAGTCAGACCTTGAAAAAAGCCTGTCTGGGAGGATGACAATGGCTCCGCAGAGGTTTGGAGAATGGATTTTTGTTGTGGAGTGAAGTTTACGCAGCACAGTTAGTCATTCAAAAAGAAGGAGGCATCTTAAAGGGCAACACAAAACATGACACACAACTGTTGCAACATTGTTTCCACCTCAGAAAGAGAGTAGAGCTGTGTGTGGCTTCGTCAGGCGAGAGAGTAGACAGCGAAAGAACACCCTGAGCTGATGTTGTGTTCGTGTGATCTGGAAAAGTCGGGAAAATTCAATGATAAAAACTCTGGAAACTCTCAGTCCTGCAAAAGTGATAACCATAACAGGAGCTAGAGACCAGAGAGAGACCAGAGAGAGACCAGAGAGAGACCAGAGAGAGAGAGACCAGAGAGAAACCAGAGAGAGACCAGAGAGAGACCAGAGAGAGAGACCAGAGAGAGACCAGAGAGAGACCAGAGAGAGACAGACCAGAGAAAGAACAGAGAGAGACAAGAGAAAGACCAAAGAGAGACCAAAGAGAGAGAGACCAGAGAGAGACCAGAGAGAGAGACCAGAGAGAGAGAGAGAACAGTGAGAGAGACTACAGAGAGACCAGAGAGAGACCAGAGAGAGACCAAAGAGGAACATTTATGGAGAAAATGTGGAGTGAAAAGGAGCATGAATGATTGATGAGCATTAGCCGCTGTTCCCAAAGGTTCCGAGGCTGAGGCTAAAACGCTGGCCCCAAAGTACCGTCTGACGTTAGCTTAGCCTGCAGCTCGTTTAGATAACAGTCGCCATAGCAACCAATGTCTTCGGTCACACAGACGCCAGATACGCTGGACACAGGCCGTACATCCAGGCCGTGCACATCCAGGCCTCGAACCTATGTGCAGAGGAGACAGTCCGGGTCACAACGAATGTTACTTTTCTAACTTTTCCTATTTGATCCCTCTCTGGTCTCCCTCTGATCTCTCACTCTCTGGTCTCTCCCTGAACTGGTCTCTCCCTGAACTCTCTCTCTGTCCCTCTTTCTGGTTTCTCTCTGATCTCTCGCTCTCTGGTTCTCCTCTGGTCTCATCTCTAATCTCTCTCTCTGAGTCTCTCTCTCTCTGTCCCTCTCTAGTCACTCTCTCTGGTCGATTGTGTGTTTTAAAATGATAGCATATATTGTGTTGATTTACTGATGGGAAAAGGCCTTTGTGTTGACTTTGCTGCAGTGGGGCCGTCTGTGGATGACTCATTTCCTCCGGACAGAAAGGGGCGGGGCTTTTTTTTTCTTGGCCTTTGAGCTGGGACTATTTTTGGAGGTTTTGTCGAATGAGGTCTGGATCGGTCTGCGACGCTCCTGCTTCATTCATAAATCCTGCCCCAGCCTGGATGCCATGTGGGTGACAGAGTTAGCATTAGCATAGAGACGATGTGGATGAGAGAGTTAATCATAATAATGCATTGGTTTTATATAGGGCGTGTTTTGACACTAAAGACGCTTCACACATCATTATTCTTTCACTCCAAACACGGTGGTGATTAAAGTACATCCTTTAGCGCCACAGCCTGCCCTGGGGCTCACTAACAGAAGCGAGGCAACCAGTCTGTGCCATCGGCCCCTCCCACCACCAACTATTCACACACACCAGACTCATTCCAAGTTTGCATGGCAGATGAGAGTTAAGCAATTAGCATAGAGAGTTAGCATGGCCATAGAGATCGTTAGGCATTAGGCATAGAGAGTGTAGCAAGCATAGAGATTTAGCAATTAGGCATAGAGAGTTAGCATTGGCATAGAGAGTTAGCATTGGCATAGAAGTTAGCATAGCATAGAGAGTTAGCATTGGCATAGAGAGTTACCATTGGCATAGAGATAAGCATTAGCATAGAGAGTTAGCATTGGCATAGAGAGTTAGCATTAGCATAGAGAGTTAGCATTAGCATAGAGAGTTAGCATTGGCATAGAGAGTTAGCATTAGCATAGAGAGTTAGCATTGGCATAGAGAGTTAGCATTAGCATAGAGAGTTAGCATTAGCATAGAGAGTTAGCATTGGCATAGAGAGTTAGCATTGGCATAGAGAGTTAGCATTGGGATCAACTAACATGGATAGAAATAGGGCAGTAGGGTATGATTTGCTCAAATTCAAACCAGTCATCTTGGAGGACTTTACAAAATTGTTGATTATAAAACAACAAATCAGAGAATCATGTTTTTTGTGGTAGGGGAAACCGGAGCACCCGGAGGAAACCTACGCAGACACGGGGAGAACATGCAAACTCCACTCAGAAAGGCCCTGTTCCGACTGCATTTGAACCCAGGACCTTCTTGCAAAGAAGCGAAAGTGCTAACCACTCAGCCACCGTTGGTCTCTCTTATCTCTTTGGTCTCTCTCTCTGGTCTCCCCTCTGGTCTCTCCATCTGGTCTCCCTCTGGTCTCTCTCTGGTCTCTCTCTCTCTCTCTGGTCTTCCCCTCTGGTCTCTCTCTGTCTCCGCTCTCTCTCTCTCTGAGTTTCTTCTTCTGGTCTCCTCCCTCTGGTCTCTCTCTGGGTCTCTTCTACTCTCCTCTCTCTGCTTGTTCTCTCTCTGGTCCTTCTCTCCTCTGGATCTCTTCGTCTATCTCTCTCTCTGGTCCAACTCTCTGGTCTCTCTCCGGTCTCGACTCTCTCTGCTCTCCGTCTGGTCTCTCGTCTGGTCCTCTCTCCCCTCTGGGTCTTCCTCTCTCGCTCTGGTCTCTCTGGTCTCCGCTGCTCTCTGGTTTCCTCTTCTCTCTCTCCTGCCTGGACACTACTTTAGGTCCCTCTCTACACAGAGTCTCTCTCATCTCTTTTTGGGTACGCTCCTCTTAGGGTCTTCTCTTGTGGTTTCTCACTCTGGTCCTTTCTCTTGAGTACTCTCCACTCATGGAGTGCTCCCCCCGCGAAGACTCCCCTGTGGTTTTCTGCTCAGGTTTCGTAATGTTACTCTACCTCTCTCCGTGCGTTCTCCCCTGGCCCCCTCTCCTCCCCCTCTCTCACTCTCTCTTCTCTCTCTCTCTCCTCTCTCTCTTCCCTCTCCCTCTCTCCCTCTCCTCTGCTCTCCTCCTCCCTCTCCTCTCTCTCCTCATCTCTCTCCTCATCTCCTCTCTTCCTCTCTCCCCTCCTCTCCCTCGCCTCCTCCCTCTCCTTCTCTCCCACTCTCCCTCTCCTCTCTCTCCCCTCCTCACTCTCTCCTCTCTCTCTCCCTCCCCTCTCTCCCTCCCCACCTCCACCCCCCTCTCTCCCTCTCACTCCCTTCTCTCTCTCCCTCTCCTCTCTCTCGTTCTCTCCCCCCTCTCCTCTCTCTCCCTCTCTCTACTCTCTCTCTCCTCTCCTCTCTCCCTCTCTCTCTCTCCTCTCTCTCTCCCTCTCTCTCTCCCCTCTCTCCTCTCCTCCTCTCCCTCCCTCCTCCCTCTCTCTCCCTCCTCCTCTCTCCTCCTCTCTCCCTCTCTCTCTCTCTCTCGCTCCCCTCTCTCTCATCCTCTCTCTCACTCTCATCTGCTCCCTCTCTCTCCCTCTGACTCTCTCTCCCTCTCTCTCTCTCCCTCTCTCCCTCTCTCTCTCCCTCGTCTCTCCCTCCTCTCTCTCCCTCTCTCTCCCCTCTCTCTCCCTCTCTCTCTCCCTCTCTCCCTCTCTCTCTCTCTCCCTCTCCTCTCTCTCTCTCTCTCCCTCTCTCTCTCCTCTCTCTCCCTCTCTCTCCCCACTCCCTCCCCCTCTCCCTCTCTCTCTCCCTCTCTCTCTCCCTCTCTCCCTCCCTCCTCTCTCCCTCTCTCTCTCCCTCTCTCTCCTCTCCTCTCTCTCCCCTCTCTCTCTCCCTCTCTCTCCCTCTCTCTCCCCCTCTCTCTCCCTCTCTCTTCTCTCCCTGACAGACTTCGGTTCGTGCTGCTCAGAAACACCTCAAACTGAAATCAATTCTGAATAAATAAAGTGTTAAGGAGGTTTTCAATTTACATATTTTTTACATATTCCACATTTTCCATTTCTAACATTGTTAAAACCATGATAACGATGCATGTTAATTATCGACTCTTATCTTCAGCTGAGAGGGTTTCACAGCCGGGAAAGTGCCTCATAAACGTAGAGTTGAATGAGTTTATCTAAACACACACCAGGAGGTAGTATTTATAACTGAGGGAGCTGCGTAACCACGGAGACGGTCACAGACAACTGTACCAAGAACTACTAAGGCTCAAAACTTCACCTATTTGTGTGTGTGCGTGTGTGTGAGGGTGTGTGTGTTATGTGTGTCTGTGTGTGTGTGAGGGTGTGTGTGTGTGAGGGTGGTGTGTAAAAGTGCACTTTATTGTACATGTGTATGTGTGCATGTGCAAGAAAGTAAGTAAGTAATGTTTAT